TGTAGGCCGTGCTTAGGGACAACGATGCTCATGGTGAGTTCATGGGTCAATGGAGACCACAAATATGAACGGAGATTGAGAAATCTCAACGTTCTACCAAAACCCTAGAAATACAAATTGGAAAATTTGAAAATTTTCGATGATCAATCGGTGTCGGGGACGAACTGCAGGTCATCGAAACACGATGACCTGTGGGTGAGGATTGGCTGTAGGCTAACCTACAACAGTGGAGACGATATAGAAGGCGTCGGGGTTTCTGGGTTTCAAACCTGGAGCCCTTGGCTTCAGCTTAGGGACTCGTGGCTTGGCACGGCTCGGCCACCCAAGCTGCAGGCTTGGTTGAATGGCTCAAGGTCATGGGTTCGAAGAACCTAGGTTGCCTTTTCCGATTGCTTTTGCATTTTTTTTTCTTTTCAATTTAATTCAATGTATATTATATAATTTAATGCATGAGCAATTATTTGATGCAATTCATGGTAATATCAAATTCACATAATTCAACAATTATGAATATAATCATACACAATTTATGTAGAATCTAAAATTCGAAAAATGTAAAGTTGGGTCATGCATTATGGTGAATGTTCATGCTATCAGGGCTACAAAAATATCGAGATAAAAACCGTTACTTTGGAAGAACCTAATTGTGTGATGATATGGATGAACTGGTTTGATGCAGAAAATATCTTTGTCAGATTCCTAAGCGCAGCGGTAGAAGCATGTTGATAACGTTTTGTAGCTTATTTTATCTAACTAAGGGGAAGGGGCCAGCAGCAAGGGAAGAGAGAAAGGAAATATGTGTTTGTAGGATTGTAGGGGAATGTGTGTGTTATTCCCTCCTACGTAGTGCCTTTATTTATAGTAATAAGAGGGAGAAGAAATCCTTCATCCCCAAGGAATACAAGTTCATATAGAAAAGAATAACTAGAATCAAATCTAATCTAGGATTTACACAATCACACTTAAACTAGGAAAGTTTACAACAATACCACACTTTTTTTTAAAAAGACAATTAATAGTAATCATGTATCAAATTCATTGTCCAATAAAATTAAAAATAAAAGGTATAAATGTATGAGTAGTCACTTTTTTCTCCCAACTTATTGAAAACTCAACGTGTATGCTAGCCTTAACCTTTCCATTTTCATGCCTTTGATTTGTTTCCTCCGAGTAAAACTCAAAGCCCTAAAGTGAATTGAGATCCCCTCCAGAGCTGACGAACCCAAAGATCTAAATCATTCATTTTATACCATACAGCCCCATTAGCCCATTCAACTGGCTCACCTTACACAAACTAAGAGTTTAGATTTATCTCTCTCCCTTTTTTTAAACGGTTTGAATTTCTCAATCCGTAAGCTCCAGATTGCAAGATCCAGTGATGATCTGAATTCCCCCAAACCAAGTCTCAAACCTCCTCATTTCCCAAATATGAAACCCAATCACCATGATCAAAATCTCTTAAAAAAGCCTTTTCTTAAACTCAAGCCTACCAACACTATGGAAGCTCATGTGTTTTTCATTTACTAAACTTATAGGCTTTAGTTTCCACACCCCAAGTTCTCATGTCAAGCCTTCTTTTTTGTCAAAATCAATCCATCACCATCAATTATTTTGAAAACCGTTGAAAGCGCTACATAAGGATAAATGCGAATTGCTACAAGAACAACAAAATATCTCCTATGACTCTTTTTTCCTTCAAAATGCTTTGGCCTTGTTCTTGATGTGTTTGGGTTTGTTTCACCGTTCAACTATAGAACATCTGTGTTTCATTGCACATTACTAACACAAAATTAAACCACCAATTAATTAAAATGTGTTAATCTTTAGAGCTAAACTACCAATTACTTAGTTTGGTTTTGTTTGATTTCTCTACTCATTTTAATTTAAACCGATTCAAATCACATATCAGTTATCACACAACTTAAGAAAGAAACCAGTCTAAACTAAACCTAGCATTTGTGTCGTATTTTCCATGTTGTGTCATTTTGTGTCATATCCGATATCTTAACAGGTAGTGTCGTGTAACACTTGTTAAAATAAACGGGTAATATGACCCGACCAAAACTCGACCCATTAATATTAATTCAAAACATAATACTATATGTATACCACATTGTCACATAAATCTTACTTCAAAATATAAAAACACATTTGCCTTTCAATTTTCACATAAATATTAATTAATGTAGAAGTGTGAACATATTAAAAAATATATATGCAGAAACACTAATTTTTTTTTTTTCATATTTTCTTTTTTGAAAAACATGATCTTTTCGTGGATGCAGGAAGATGAATGGTTCAAATCATTGATATTATATTCAAAGTTTTACATTAGTGAAAATATTGCTCAGAGTTTATAAAGTCTCTTGAAACTATATAAAATCAACTCATATTTCAGTTAACCATAAATATTGGAACGTGATATTAACAACCGTTCATTTTTCTACATCCTCTAAAAGATAATGTTTTAAAAAAAGAAAATCTGATAAAAAATTAAAAAAAAAAAGAAAAAAAAAAGAAAGAAATTCAGTGAGAATAATAAAGCATAAACTACAATCGATATTGATTACGGTGTCGAATTTCAGAGTTGACCCTTTTACAAAAGTTGTAAAGCTTGTAATTACGAGTGATTGTATGTTTTTATTTACATTTTTCACACTTCTACATTAATTATTATTAATTTTGCACTCAAATCAAAATAGTTTTCATGTGACATCCCACATCGCCTAGGGGAGTGATCCTTATATGTATATTCTCATCCTTACCTAGCACGAGGCCTTTTGGGAGCTCACTGGCTTCGGGTTCCATGGGAACTCCGAAGTTGAGCGAGTAGCGTGCGAGAGCATTCCCAGGATGGGTGACCCATCGGGAAGTTCTCAGGTGAGTTCTCAGAAACAAAACCGTGAGGGCGTGGTCGGGGCCCAAAGCGGACAATATCGTGCTACAGTGGTGGAGCGGACCCGGAAAGTGGTTCCACCCCGGGCCAGGATGTGACAATTTGGTATTAAAGCCTAACCCTGGCCGTGTGTGCCGACGAGGACGTCGGGCCCCTAAGGAGGGTGGATTGTGACATCCCACATCGCCCAGGGGAGTGATCCTTATATGTATATTCCCATCCTTACCTAGCACGAGGCCTTTTGGGAGCTCACTGGCTTCGGGTTCCATGGGAACTCCGAAGTTAAGCGAGTAGCGTGCGAGAGCATTCCCAGGATGGGTGACCCATCGGGAAGTTCTCAGGTGAATTCTCAGAAACAAAACCGTGAGGGCGTGGTCGGGGCCCAAAGCGGACAATATCGTGCTACGGTGGTGGAGTGGGCCCGGGAAGTGGTTCCGTCCCGGCCGGGATGTGACATTTCATGTGGGTTTGGAGGGTTTTAACAATCTAAATGACGATATAACCATGGCGTGGAGGATGCAATCACGAGCTTTTATATATTCTTTCATATTTTTAACACTTATACATTAATTATTATGAATTTGTATTTATTTTGAACTCCCCTTAAAATATTATTCACGAGGGTTTGGAAGGTTTTAAAAATGCAAACAACGATATACCCATCTCAAAGCATAAAGGATGCAATCACGAGCTTTTAAATATTTTTTCACATTTTTCGCACTTACAAATTAATTATTATAATTTGTATTGTGTTTGGTATTTTTAAATTACTTTGATGCTTTAATTTAATAATGTGTTTTATAATGTTTTAATCTCACTTTTAAGATGATATAATATTTATGAGTATGATTATATAAGAGAGTAAAACATTTGTTAGGTTTGTTGACTATAAAATTGAAAGTCTATCTTTTTGCCTATACTAACACTACACTAGTTGATTTGAACTTTAGACAACATATCAAGTAAAAATTATCCCAGTAATGATGATAAGAAACTCTCATAATGCAAATAAATAAATAAAACAATTTTTTTAATTTATTTTGAATATCTATACAATAATACATATTTAATATATACACACTATGACTATTGTATTTTATAATAAGTTTTTTTAGTAGTTTTTCTTTAAAATCATCAAAATGGTTTTTTTCTTAATGGGTTACTCACGGTTTACCCATATGCAATGGTGGATCTAGAAAATAATATTAGGGCGGTTAGTAAGAATAGCGTGCTGCGAGCGCAAATTTTTTTTTTACCATAAATAACATGCATATCACCATTTCATCGAGTCTTGGTAGGTCTAAAGTCATTTGGAAATGCATACTGCACACCTTTTAATGCTTTATTTGCGAGGGTAACTAACATGTTCCAAAGCTGCTCTCATATGAATGCTTAACAAAGAAACATCCTTATCTTGAAAGCACTAACAATGTTTGATATCATTGCCTCCCATTAATATGTTTGTCCAAGAATGATGATGCTTTGTTATTCACTGAGATCACCATTTCATTCACCTTTTTTCAGACATTTTATCAAACAGTTGGAAGACATATATGAAGCCAACTCTAATCTTCAGAAGGGTAGCACCCAAGGTATCTATGAACATTCACCGAAGTTTGGAGGGTCAACACCAAAGTATCCATAGACGTTCATCGAAGTTCGGGGGGGTCAACTAATCCCCCTGTCCCTCAATGCATCTACCACTCCCTGCATGTAAACCCGTTATTAATAAATACTTAACGGGTAACTCGATAACAACCCGATTAGTTACAATATTAATCTTCAAGCTTGTTAATTTCGTATCGTGTAAGAAATTACTAAGTTTAGTCCAAACCATACCACATCCACCCCACCTATAAACAGTAAGTTAGGGAGTATACAATACAACATTATGAACTAGTATATACGACACTGGAAATTGCTATACGACACCATTTCCCTAGCCAAAAAAATGTCTCCACCATCAACAAAAAAATATCTTAACGAGCAGACCAAATAGAAGCTAACACTCGCGCGCCACGCTTCCTCCACCTTATCCATCTTCCATTTTCCCAAAACCCTGCACAAACACCTTCAAAAACCCTCCATCCATGGCGGACCTAATCTCTTAAACCTCATCACCCCCTTATAATCCTCCTAAGAAAAAAAACCCACCTCATTCATGGAGCTCTCTTCTTCTTTCACACAAGTCTCCAACCTATCCGTTTACCATAACTACTCCTTCACCTCCTCCTTCTCGCAGTTCCCAACCCAAATCCGCCTCAAAACCCCCAAGTTCCCAAACCGAAGATCGCAAAATCTCCACGTCGTCGCCGTCGCCGTCGACCCACAACAGGAACTCCCCCAAAACAGCCCCCAGCGGCTCCTCAAAGAGCTCTCGGAGCGCAAAAGGGCGACTTCTCCGAAGAAGAAGGTGCCGCCGAAGCGGTTCATACTCCGGCCGCCGTTGGACGACAAGAGATTAGCGCAGAGGTTTCTGAACAGCCCACAATTATCGCTAAAGTCGTTCCCTTTACTCAGTTCCTGCTTGCCCTCTTCGCGGCTCAACAATGCCGACAAGGCGTGGATAGGGGAGTACTTGCTGGAGGCCAAGCAAGCTCTTGGGTACCCGCTGGAGCCTTCGGATAGGTTCGAGGACGACAACCCAGCAAAGCAATTCGACACTTTGCTGTACATGGCGTTTCAGCATCCCTCCTGTGAGAGGACCAATGCCCGGCACGTCCGGTCCGCGCATTCGAGGCTGTGGTTTTTGGGGCAGTATGTGCTGGAATTGGGTTTGGCTGAGTTTTTCCTGCAGAGGTATCCGAGGGAGTCGCCGGGTCCAATGAGGGAGAGGGTGTTTGGGTTGATTGGGAAGAGGAACTTGCCCAGGTGGATTAGAGCTGCTAGCTTGCAGAATCTGGTGTTTCCTTTTGATGATATGGATAAGTTGCAGAGGAAGGACCGAGAGCCACCTGTGAAGTAAGTTCAATGATCCTTTTTTCTTGGATACTTGAAATCAATGGTAGTTAGTTGAATATAACTCGTATTTGAAGTTCAGAAATTTAGGTGGATTTCAAACAATGGAAGGAGATAATTGCAGTAATCTTCTCATGAAATGGGAGTTTGTATCACTAGATATTGCCATGAATTCTTTTAACTATTGAGACGATCTATGAGATGGTTTAAACTGGGATTTATACTAAATTAAAGAAGCAATACCACCTTGGCAAAACAATACAAGTAGCTAAACTAGAAGTAAGCCTGATCCAACTCACAGAAGATTTCAAAAGTACCATACGAGCAAACTTGGTGAAGACTTCAATACTGATGAATGGACCTTTGTTAAAGGCTACTGATTATGCATGCCTATGAAAAGAATTCTTCATTTCTTGGTACCCTGATGCATATGTGGGGATTAGGTTATATTGACTAACCTCTGTGATGATGATAGATCATATCGCATTTATAATTTTATATCATGAAGGGATAGAATGGAGATGTAGGGTTTGAGGCTGGCTTGTATGGAAGCAAAGTTCTGTGCTTTTGGCCTTTCTCTATTACCTAAGTTATATAGCTAATGCTGAAAATCATTTTTGGGATTAAGAATGGAAGTTGAAGACATGATAAGTGTGTGGCCCTTTCCTAGCCTCAACTTAGGGTGTAACTACATATTAAGTACTAGTTTTTAGCTGATTTTAGTGACGAATTACATTCCTTATTTATATAAATATAAATATATTTATACATATATACGGACACACTATATGTTTATATGTATATGTATCTCATAGTGATTGCAAGTTATCTCTTGCTGTTCTTGTAGATCTCACCTTGCAGAACCAGACCACAGTTTCTTTGGCAGTACATAAATAATTTCTATTTACTTTTTATCATGTAATTGTCTAGATTCTTCTGTGCCTTGAAAACTCATAGTTGATGAGAAAATGCATTTGAGCTTCAAATTTATTGTGTATTTTGGGCAGGTCTGTATTCTGGGCTTTGTTTGGGGCAATATATTTGTGTTTTGGTATGCCAGAAGTATATCGTGTTCTTTTCGAAGTATTTGGAATGGACCCAGAAGATGAGACCTGCCAGCCAAAACTACGGAGACAACTTGAAGACGTAGATTATGTTTCTGTAGAATTTGAAGGCAACAAACTCAGCTGGCAGGATGTTGCGGCTTACAGGGCAAGTTTTTTTTTTGTGCATTGTTTCTGTTGTTTATGCATACTAACAAAATAATAAACGCTCCAAAAGTTGCTCTGGGATCTTTAGAAGATCAAAGAGTTTTATTAAAAGAATATCAGTTTATATGTACGCAGTTGGCAAAACCATGATGGGTACTGAATATAAAGACTAAATAATTTAAGGGTCATCAAACGGCACTAGGTTTAACCTGACTCTTGAGGCTTGTTTTGAACATATGTTAAATCCCTGTTAATCTTCTAATGTTGGGATTTATGTTGCAGCTTTTTGGATAAATTATTCATGTTATATATTAGAATGACTATATAAATTTTCACATACAATTTGGTTGCCATATTTTACGGAAATAGTTTTGATTTTGTATCTTCTCAAGTAAGTTCCTGCAAATAATGTGTTTTCCCCTCTACAGCCCCCAGAAGATGCGCTTTTTGCACATCCAAGGCTCTTCAGGGCTTGTGTTCCACCAGGTATGCATCGGTTCAGGGGAAATGTATGGGATTATGAGAGCCGACCTAAAGTCATGCGGACATTGGGATATCCCTTAGCATTGACTGATAGAATTCCAGACATTACTGCAGCTAGGAACATCGAACTTGGACTTGGGCTACAGGTGTTTCCCTCACTGTCCTCCATCTCTATATGTGCATTTGCGTGTAGTATGCAATTTTATTTAAACTAATCGTAATATAACATAGTGAGTAATCTGAAAAAAAGTTAAAAATAAAATAAGAGAAGACAAAGGCAACATGCCAAAATGATCTGTTACCATTTCTATACGTGTCACCAGATGTCTAACTAGTATTTTCTCTGTCACACTCAAAGTTTACTAGGGCGGATTATCCTATTCCAAGATTTTAGATCCACCAAATCTGGATAGGTTATGTCCGTTTTGTCACTCTATTCGATGTACTTACTCTTATTTGTTAATGTTTATAGTCTGTATAGGCCCCGCATGTTGATGTATTGTTTGCTTTCTTATTTGCGTACAGCTTTCTTTCTTGCATCCATCGAAGCACAAATTTGAGCATCCTCGATTTTGTTACGAGCGTTTAGAATATGTTGGCCAAAAGATCCAGGTAATAAGTTGCACTGTGTAAATGCAAATTTATTTGTCCTACATTGTGTAGGAGACCCCATATATCTCTTTCCTCATACTTAATATATATGTTGAATTTGGGTGGTTGTGTGTTTATATCTTGTCTAGGACCTTGTGATGGCAGAAAGGTTGCTGATGAAACATTTAGATGCTCCTGGAAAGTGGTTAGCAGAGAGACATCGCCGTGTTCTCATGAACAAATTCTGCGGGAGATATTTGAGAGAGAAGCGTCTCCACCAGTTTATCATCTTCTCCAACCAAGTTCAGGATGCATATGAGCACAACCGAAGATTAAGAAATCCAGCCACAACCGCTGTTCAACAAGCCATTCATGGTCTCGCATACACAATATACGGGAAGCCAGATGTAAGACGCCTCATGTTTGAGGTCTTCGATTTTGAGCAAACCCAACCTAAAGCTGTGACTGTGTGAAGATGAAGGATTCATATTCAAATCTATATGCATGCCAGAAAGCGTTCTTTTTCCGCTCCCTCAACTTTTTCATTTTTCTATTCTAAATAGGAAATAATTGCATGGAACCGTATGTGATTGTGATATCTAACGACACTAATGTAATATAAAGATGTAATAGTTTTAACTAAATTAGTTTTATCATTTATTTTCACTCTCATATGTGACTAGAGCACAATTTTGCAAGTGGCGCCCAATGTAATGTTGCAGCCTAAGTTTTTGCTGTTCTTTCCGGAGTCCGTCTCTTTCTTTCTTAATTCTTTTGCTCTTAACAATCGAAAATCAGACGAGATTCGTTATATTGGTTAAGAGCATTCACTTTGTGCATAATCTTGTCCAATTTTCTTATCTCTATTATGGCTTGTATAAAAGAAGGAATTTTTAGAAATTTAAAAATTCCATTGTGAAATTTAGGATTTTCACATGAGAGAAAATTATTGAGAAAAATTATCTCAATTTTCACTTTCATTCTTGTAGTTTTTTCTTGAGATTTTGCCCTTTTAATTTTGTTATGTTTTTACATCAGTCTAATTCATTAGTTTTCTGTTGTTATTTGTCACATTTTCTCATTTTGTGTTGTTGTTGGAGACTATAGCATGGATAGCCAAAAAAGTCTACTCCCACCCAACCATGAATATCATTAACAAAAAATGCGTTGTTTGATTACAATCACTAGAGAACAAAGTGAAAAAATAAATGGTTCGTTTAGGAAGTGTTTTTGAGGAATAAAATTGCTTTTAAATAAAATGATTTTAAATTAATTCATAGTAATATTCAAGTTAATTATGGAATCCTGTAATAAGCACATGATTGGTGTTTCATGCAAAAAGTACTTCAAGGGTGTGTTTGTTGCATCGGACTGTCTCGGACTGGACTAGCTGCATGGACTAAGTTGGACTAACTTAGTAAAGCGTTTGATGCAATGTCGGACTCAGAAGCAGGATAATGAAAATAGTACTGTTCACCGGATTTGTGTTTGCTTAGACTAGGACTATATTATTGTTTTATTTTAATAGCTCAAAAACATGTGCCCAACGCCTTTGCCATTGTGTAATAGAGTAATGCTACAAATATCATGATATGGGTTAATTGGAGCATATTTTTGCCATGTATATTATGAATCTTAAAAAAAGAGGACAATTGTTTTGTTTTTAGTACCTGCTAATATAAATGAAAAGATAAATACATATCCTAATTCAAATGAAATTGGGCTTGGTGTATAAAACGATTTTACCACTTATAGTTTGACAAGGAGACTATTTTGCTTTTTAACACGAATTCTAGTAGCAGAAAACAAGTCTTCCAAGTTTAAACAAGAAAACAAGAAACAAATCAAGAAGATAGTCCTGAAATTTTCTTCCCATGGAATTGAAAGAAACTGCACCGATTGGCGAAAATGAGCCCGAGATCGTGCTTCTTGATAACCCATTTGAAAGGTTGTTAAAAGTGTCTGAGAGTAACTTGCTTAGATGTACAAAAAGGAAAGCAAATAATATGGTCCCTAGGGTAACTGCTTCTTGGACTAAATCTGGAGAGAAAGAAGATCTCCATAATTTACAAAATACCAGTTAACTATAGTATAGCATTCCAAAGTAGATCTCCATAATTCACAAAATCATAGTTAACATTAGCCAAAATACTTTATCGCGCAAAGCTAAGTTAGAAGCCATAACATAAGATTTTACGATTAATAAAATACATCCATGTCAAAAGGCACCACATAATATACTCATCCGCTTGCTTTGTCGCTTAAAAGTCTTTGGACAAACACTTTGTTGAGTTCCAAATTGATTGCCCTGAACACTCCCACATTTTGTGGTTTTTCCAAAATAAGAGTCAATGCATCAATTTGATCCATAGGAGAAAGACCCATTGCTCCAAGTTCGTTAGCTATGTCACTATGATCTGCAATACCTTGAACAATAGCTTCAATTACCATTTGCATCCTTTTCCCACTTTCAACATAAAATTCTTTCAATCCACTGATAATTGCCTCGGTTCCATCACTTGAACTTCCCATAGCTCTTTTCCTCTTCCTTTGGCTATTTTCAGATGGGGTGCTTTGTTGGCTTTGTTGGTTCATTGAAGAAACAACATTTTCACCTCCAATATCACTTGCACCAACCTGCTCATGATTTTGTTCCTCCATCATTTCAGCAGGGGTTTTGGCTACATTACCCGTAGCCCGATCTTTTCCAAATATATATGCAAATCTATCATACAGTGGAAAATGTTTGCTTCTCCATCCATCGGCTTCTTTATTTTTCTAAGATTATATCAACATAGCAAAACTAAAATTTAGCATGCGTAACAAATATAGCAACAAGAATATAACTAATGTATAAATAAAATAGGATATGAACCTACACATAAGTTTGCCATGAGTCATCACTATCAACTTCAACGCACTTTTTGACATCATTCCATGCAAATCCACTTGTGTTTATCATGCCAAGGTCCAAACTATATGTATTTTTTCCATTTCTTCAACTTTGACTCAATATGTGGAGTTGCCTTTATATTTGAATTAGGACATAAAACATTGACAGCTTTCACTATTTCAGTCAAAGTACCTTGTGTGAAAGCATCTGTGTCACACCGTTGCTTCCAAGCAACAAAATCCTCAAGAATAGATAGTAATACTTCTTCCTCAAATGCTTCCCATTTACGACTTCTTCCTTTTGGCTCTTAAGCAACATTCAAATTATTGTCGTTATCCATACCTAAACAAAAAATATTTGAATGTACTAAAGTACAGTACAAAGAATCAATTTGCATAATATCCAATTAATTTGCATAGCATCCAATCAATAAATCGAATGACATTCACTGATGAGCAATCTAATCATTTTGCTAATATCCAACATATGCATGATAAAAAGGAAAACTAAAATAAAATGTTATCATTAACACATATAGCTAGTTCGGTTGCTGGTTCCTAATTGCTCTCCATTCATTATACATTTCCTGAGCCATGGCATTCCTCTTTGCAGTCCACTGGTCAGATGTTTCAACACTACCAACATATTCACCTTCTTCTGTATTTTGTCCATCTTCTATTATTGGCAAATTCTCCATTAGATCTACAGACATCTCTTGCTTAATAAGATTGTGTAGTAAGCAACAAGCGGTAATTATTCAACCTTGTGTCCTTATCGAATAGAAATATGGACTCCTTAGTATCGCCCACCTTCCTTTTAGCAAGCCAAAACAGCATTCAATTACATTCCTTGCCTTAGAATGCTTCATGTTAAAATATTCTTCCTTATTAGAAGGTGTTCGTCCCTCCCATTCAGATAAATGATAAGGTATTCCTCTATAGGGTGCAAGGAATCCTTCACCATTTGTATAACCACCATCTACAAGGTAATAATAACCTAATACAAAAAAGAAGACCTTATTAGTGTTTTGTAGTTCACAAACAAAACTAGACCTAACTTACAAAGTTGAGACTAACTAATAGTCTTACCCACTGGTACCTTTAAACCATTAGGCCTAGTAATTGCATCATGTAGCACTCTAGAGTCTAATGCGGAACCCTCCCACCCCGAAAACACATATATGAACTGCATATCTCCTGAACACACACCTAACACATTAGTTGTGACTCGACCCTTTTTTGTTCGGTATCTTGGTTTGTCAATTTCAAGTACATGCACATCAATGTGTGTTCCATCTAATGCTCCCAAGCAATTCTAAACAAAAATAAATAAGCTTTTGTTAATTTATACAAAGGGAATGAAGAGTTAAAGCTTAGGGAAAATGAAAAAAAAAATTATCATCATACCTTAAAACATTGCCACCTAGGATCTGTAGAATCAATAGGCACAAGCTGAGGGACTTTTAGTAGGATACCTTGTAATCGCAAAATTTCTTGCAATACACTATTGAAATACCTACTTATAGTCTCTCCCGACCTATAAAATCTACCGCCAACACTATGATTATTAGTATAATGTGCTAGTATTTGTAAAGTTATACACACCTGTTCCTCTACAGACACCAAACCATCCATTTTTACCCTCCCATCTTGACGAAGTAAGTCATATAATATGGCAAAAGTCCTTCTATCCATTCTCAATTCTTTGACACATTCAACATCAGTATTCCCTATTATACCATTCAGATAACACAAACTAATCTCTCGTCTAATAAGTGAACGGTTAGTCAAAGTGCGTCATTCAACCTGTCTCTGTTTCGCCCTTAGCATCAGCAACAGAAGAAGCGTACACATGAAAATTGACTCTAAATAAGATATCTCTAACAATAGGATCAATAAAAGCTTCCTTTGATCCATATCTATCCAAACAAAAAAAAAGGAAAAAAAAAATAATGACATTATATATGTAATATTTACTATTATTAAGGTTGATGGAAATGAAGTGATTATGATATGAAATGAACTAGATCAAAAGAAACGGTATGCAAAGAATTCTGAAACAACTAACTGCATCAATACTCCTTTGAAGATATTGTCATCTAATTAATTTACTATTATTAAGGGTGATGGAAATGAAGTGATTATGATATGAAATGAACTAAATCAAAAGAAACGGTATGCAAAGAATTCTGAAACAACTAACTGCATCAATACTCATTTGAAGATATTGTCATCTAATTAAACATGTAGGACACTGGAATTTTCTCCATTTACCACCTAATTAAAGAAATGTATTTCTAAAGTTAAATTCATACGATCAAATATCAAACAGCCATGAAGTTTTACAAAATGGTGGGTCCTTTTTTATATTTCATGCTAAATAAAGATGTAGATATGTTTGCAAGAGTAGACACGCATATTTTGTGTAAAATGGTTTCAATCACCACAACCCACGTATAACTATTTCTTCACATTCACATTGCTGATCCATACCTTCAGTACAAATCTGCAGGAAGACTGTGGCTATTTCTTTTCCTCAACACTGCAGCCCAAGAAGAGCCTGAAATAGAACTTAACCATTTACTTAAATACACAACAGAACGAACAACGAACCACTATATGTTTCAACCAAACAGGTGAAGTTGCATTTATCAATATGATAAAAATGACCATGAAGATACAAATGGATTGAGATGCAAAATGAGATATTTCCAGACTACCCTTCTATAAGGGAAAAAATCATCAATGATGAAGCATTGACAGGACATATGGAATTGCTTCCTGCCTATCTCTAATGCCATTCAAACAAAGTGGTCCGAGGAAGGTAAAAGGAAATCAAAAAATGAAAAAACAAAACCAAACAGAGGATACGACTTCGAACATAACCACAAACCATTAAAAGAGTGCATAACAAAAATTTCTTTAGCTTGCAGAGATTTCTCATCCAACAATTTTACCGAACGTTTTGTTTTTAGTTTTCATTTTTCATGGGAGAAAGAATGTAAATGAGAAAGGGAGGGAGGAAGGAGAGATTGTTTTTCCCTTCAAATTTTGTCTCATCATTTATGCATTCACCATTCTCACTCCCTTCTCTCTTTCTTTCTCCATCCCTTCTCCTTCTCCCATGTTTTCTCTTTGAAGCTAAGAAAATCGAAACTAAAAACTAAGAATGAAATGGTTATCAAAAGACTATAAACTAATACTTGTTGTCTCCCAAGTTCATCTCATATACCCATAGACAGTTATCGTAACATGCATAAAGAACACTACACACAAAAGAGGAACAAGAAAGGAATAAACCAAATTTATTTGGTTGTTTGCATTGAATTCTTCTTTTTAAACAGATGACTTAAGGCCAATGATACAAGTCGAAAATCAATATCACAAATATTAGGAAAGGGTGATGCAGATGAAAAGGGGGAGGGGAAGAAGAAAAAAAAAATAGAGGAATGAAGGAAAGCAGGGCAAAACATCGATGATATCATTCATGTGGAGATGAATCAAAGATCAATCCACAACACTGACATTGCACTAGCAAACAGAATTTTGAAATAACTGAAGATGGCAGAGTACATAGTTGACGGAAAACGCAAACGCCAAATTGGTTTAGTGCTTTATAATTTCCTAACATCATACTAGCAATAACAGCATAGAGCCATAAATTGGAAAATCATCTGTGGTACTTCATGTTACAAAACATATGTGACTTTAACCGGAATGTGAAGGGCTACAAAACAGGTAAAGTCACCCACGTTTTTGAGTTCGGATTTGAAAGAAAAATTGAAATATGAAAAAACCCCAAATTCTAATCTCAATTTGACCTAAAAATCAAAACCCTAATTTGTTCAAGTGCAGAGTTCTATGATTGAAATTTTCTCAAACCTAAAACAACAAAATCAAATAAAGCTCAGTAATATCACGATCTACAAAACAAATCGACGAAATAAATCGAAGATTCAAAGTTTACCAGACAACTCAGAGCAGATGAGGCCGAGCAGATGCAGATGAGGGTGAGGACAACGACAATGAGGGAGCAGGGCAAGGACGACGATGAGGGAAGACGCAGAGATGAAGACGAGCAGGATGAGCGACGTTGGGGGGGGTTCTTGGACGACTGAATCTCTCGTGGTTTTCTATGGCTTGCGAGTCCGCCTAAAATTAGGGATCCTCGTTAAGAACTGCTAAGGAGCGTATAATCCGAGCGAGTCCATGCTAAGGTCATTAAACCTAATCTTGGTGCTAAGGTTATCAAACTTAGTCCCTTGTTTGGTCTACACCAGGATTAGGTTTAAACCATGAAGCATTCTAAGGCAAGAAATGTAATTGAACGTTGTTTTGGCTTGCTAAAAGGAAGGTGAGCGATACTAAGGAGTCCATCTTTCTATCTGATAAGGACACAAGGTCAAATAATTACCGCTTGTAGCCTACTACACAATCTTATTAGGCAAGAGATGTCTGTAGATCCAATGGAGAATTTGCCAATAATAGAAGATGGACAAAATATAGAAGAAGGTGAATATGTTGGTAGTGTTGAAACATCTAACCAGTGGATTGCAAATAGGACTGCCATGGCTCAAGAAATGTATAATGAGTGGAGAGCAATTAGTAACCAGCAACCGAACTAGCTATATGTGTTAATGATAAGATTTTATTTTACTTTTCCTTTTTATCATGTATGTTGGATATTAGCAAAATGATTAGATTGCTCATCAGTGAATGTCATTCGTTTTATTGATTGGATGGTATGCAAATTAATTGGATATTATGCAAATTGATTTTTTGTACTGTACTTTAATACATTCAAATATTTTTTGTTTAGGTATGGATAACGACAATAATTTGAATGATGCTCAAGAGCCAAAAGGAAGAAGGCGTAAATGGGAAGCATTTGAGGAAGAAGTATTACTATATGTTCTTGAGGATTTTGTTGCTCGGAAGCAACAGTGTGACACAGGTGCTTTCAAACAAGGTACCTTGATTGAAACAGCAAAAACAATCAATGTTTTATGTCCTAATTCAAATATAAGGGCAACTCCACATATTGAGTCAAAGTTGAAGAAATGAAAAAATACATATAGTTTGGTCCTTGACATGATAAACACAAGTGGTTTTGCAGGGAATGATGTCAAAAAGTGCATTAAAGTTGACAGTGATGACGCATGGCAAACTTATGTGCATGTTTATATCCTATTTTATTTATACATTAGTTATATTCTTGTTGCTGTAGTTGTTACGCATGCTAAATTTTAGTTTTGCTATGTTGTTATAATCTTAGAAAAATAAAGAAGCCAATGGATAGAGAAGCAAAACTTTTCCATTGTATGATAGATTTGCATATATATTTGGAAAATATCGGGCTATGGGTAATGTAGCCAAAACCCCTGCTGAAATGATGGAGGAACAAAGTCATGATCAGGTTGGTGCAAGTGATATTGAAGGTGAAAATGTTGTTTCTTCAATGAACCAACAAAGCATCCCATCTGGAATAGCCAAAGGAAGAGGAAAAGAACTATGGGAAGTTCAAGTGATGGAACCAAGGCAATTATCAGTGGACTAAAAGAATTTTATGTTGAAAGTGGGAAGATGATGCAAATGGCAACTGAAGCTATAGTTCAAGGTACTGCAGATCATAGTGACATAGCTAACGAACGTGGAGCAATGGGTATTTCTCCTATGGATTAAATTGATGCATTGACTCTTATTTTGGAAAAACCACAAAATGTGGGAGTGTTCAAGGCAATCAATTCGGAACTCAAGAAAGTGTTCGTCCAAAGGCTTTTAAGCGACAAAGCAAGCGGATGAGTATATTATGTGGTGCCTTTTGACATGGATGTATTTTATTAATCGTACAATCTTATGTTATGGCTTCTAACTTAGCTTTGCACTATGAAGTATTTTGGCTAATGTTAACTAGGATTTTGTAAATTATGGAGATCTACTTTGGAATGCTATACTATAGTTAACTGGTCTTTTGTAAATTATGGAGATCTTTTTTCTCTCCATATTTAGTCCAAGAAGCAGTTACCCTCGAGACCATATTATTTGCTTTCCTTTTTGTACCTCTAAGCAAGTTACTCTCAGACGCTTTCAGCAACCTTGCAAATGGGTTATCAAGAAGCACGATCCTGGGCTCCTTTTTGCCAATCGGTGTAGTTTCTTTCAATTCCATAGGAAGAAACTTTCAAGACTATCTTCTTGATTTGTTTCTTGTTTTCTTGTTTAAACTTGGAAGACTTGTTTTCTGCTACTAGAATTCATGTTAAAAAGCAAAATAGTCTCCTTGTCAAACTATAAGTGATAAAATCGTTCTATACACCAAGCCCAATTTCATTTGAATTAGGATATGTATTTATCTTTTCATTTATATTAGCAGGTACTAAAAACAAAACAATTGTCCTCTTTTTTTAAGATTCATAATATACATGGCAAAAATATGCTCCAATTAACCCATATCATGATATTTGTAGCATTACTCTATTACACAATGGCAAAGGAGTTGGGCACAGGTTTTTAAGCTATTAAAATAGAACAATAATGTAGTCCTAATCTAAGCAAACGCAAATCTGGTGAATAGTATTATTTTCATTATCCTGCTTCTTAGTCCGACACTGTACCAAATGCTTCACTAAGTTAGGCCAGCTTAGTCTAGTCTAAGCCAGTCCAGCTTAGTCCCTGCAGCTAGTCCAGTCCGAGACAGTCCGGTGCAACAAACGCACCCTTAAGGAGTTAGCAACAATCCCCTTACATATAATATTAGACAACCTAACACATAAAGAAATCAACTACCACTTTGGTTTTCGTAACTTACAAAAGAGTTTTGGCTCATAATGCCCATCTTTTCATTTGAAAAACTCAACAAGAAAAGAGTTTTGGCTCATCCCATTTGACGGATTGGACTAGAATGGAAGAAAACAAAATTATACGAACGAAAGTGAAAATCCAGTTAAACCACTTGTAATCTAATGTAGTTAATAGAGTGCATTTTCACTCATCACCATAAATTACGGTGTATGTTCATCATACATTTCATCATTTGTCACGCGTCTTTTCATAATTCTAAAAATTTTCAAAAAAAATTAACTATGATTAAAAGAACAAAAATGCTACTCTTACCATTTAATTGTACAATTATTTGTATCATCTCTCTAATAAAAATGAGACTCACTATATTTACACTTAAATGAAAGGACACGAGGCACATTATAAGGTGTATGGTGAACATACACACTTATGGTAGTAAGCAAAAATGCTACCACAACCAATAACAAAACCACTAAACAATGAATTCAAATTCTCTTTGTATGGATCACGGGGATCTGTGAATTTTTACCGTTCATCGTACATCATGCGGTAAGAAATCATTTTAAATTTTTTATTTAAAATTGAACACCAAACAGTACCAACAAAAATTAACCTTACAATATACAATGAACGGACACAATTTACGGATCTCCAAAAGCCTCACAAAGAGGATCTGGAGAGGATCATGTTGGCTAAACAGGATTTGGATCCCATCCGGATCCAAATTGTGGAGATCCTAGAGATCCTCACATCTTAGTCATTCATCGTGCATGTGTAGGTCAGAAATCATTTGACCTTTTTTTATTTAAAATTAAATACAAATAGTATCTAACGAAAATTGAATGCACAATATACGATAAACGGCTAGGATTTGGAGATTTCTAAGATTTCCACAAAGTGAATCGGGAGATGATCCTCTTCCGGCTAAACAATGGCCACTCTGCACTTTCCACGTCAACATATTGTCCACTCCACTGCACCACAGCCAAGCCCAACTCCCCACTATTGAATATTTAACTTTTAACCGGAAAAGTTGCAAAAATTACGAACCAACCAACCCAACCCCCAATGCGCAGGTTTTTCGTTGGGCGTCGTTTGACGTTATTGGTGTCGTCGTTCCACAACCTCCTTCCAAGCACATGATACATGCGCACAAATCCAGCAATACACCTTCGCTTCCTGTTAGTGTGCACCCTCGCTGCCTTGCGTGCGCCGGTCGCGCACCCTCCTGTCGTGCGCACCCTCTTCCCTCTTCCAAACCCTCCCCTTGAGACGCAGACTCCCACACCCACCCAATCCACTCGTCGCCAGATCTCGGCCTCGGGCAATCCCACCGCGGCGGCGACAGCAGCAGAAGCCATGTCCAAAGCACGCGTCTACGCCGACGTCAATGTCCTCCGCCCTAAGGAGTACTGGGACTACGAGTCCCTCACCGTCCAATGGGGGTAACCGTTTTTACCTCCCTAATTTTATTGATTTTCTCGATTTTCAATCCAATTCAGGAGCTTTCGTATACGGATTTATCAGAAGACTGTTGATTTATGATTTGGATTTCTGTAAGCTTGTAGTGGAGTTAAGATACAAAGCAATAGTTAGCTGATTAAGATTAATATATAATTAATTAGGGAATTAATTGTGTATTTACTGTGCTATCTGTGGCAATGATCCCCCCCCCCCCCTTCTTTTTCTTTTTTTCGTTTTAATACAACTCTTTGTGGGTTTTTTTTTTTTTTTCTTTGTTTCCAGTGATCAAGATGATTATGAAGTTGTTCGAAAAGTCGGAAGGGGGAAATACAGCGAGGTGTTCGAAGGTATAAATGTCAATACCAACGAGCGCTGTATAATCAAGATCCTCAAGCCTGTTAAGAAAAAGAAGGTAAAGTAATTTCCTTTTAGGATATTCGGGTTTTCGGTTCTGGTGTTTTGTTCGATTCAGTTGCCAATAACCCCATTCTGCACTTTTTAATATGCATTTGTTGTAAGTACATAATGGCGCGGTTGTGTACTATATCAAATATGTGGATCATTTGTTGTAACATTTAGCACACCATTTCATCTTCCTAGTGGTGTTTGTGCAGATTAAGAGAGAGATCAAAATTCTCCAGAACCTTTGCGGGGGCCCAAATGTCGTCAAGCTTCTTGACATTGTTCGAGATCAGCACTCGAAAACCCCAAGCCTGATTTTTGAGTTTGTGAACAGTACAGATTTCAAAGTTTTGTACCCCACACTGACTGATTATGACATACGCTACTACATATATGAGCTTCTCAAGGTAATTATTGTACTTTTAACATGGCACGGTTTGCTATATGAGAGAAGGGGAATTGAGCCTACATTTTGAGAGAAAGAGGTTTAATTTAGAAATGAGAGACCATACCCTTTCCGCAAGAGATTGTTCTAACTCTGCCAGAAATTGTTTTAAACTTTTAAACGTGTTTTTTTTTCTTTCATGGTACCTTTGTGGATGGTCATTGCTTTCTCTCACGAAGGAGAGATTTTAATCTCTTTGGGGCCGTTTGGGATGACGTATTTCAAAATCAGGGAATTAGTTAATATTATGTTAGTTAAGTTGTTGGATTGGAGTCATTGGATCATTACATAGTATTTGTATATTTTTTATGGAAAGAAGAAAGTAAAACACACAAGGATCAAATTATTAAAACACACTAGGATTCAAATGATTCATCGGATGTAGGCATATTGAGTTTTATTATTAAGTCCCTAGTCTTCCTTTCAAATCATTTTAATAATGGACCTTAAAGTGCTCTCTGGTGTGCTCTGTTCCAAGTTACTCAGGGATTTTAAATTTCAGTCCATGTGATGGTTTGCACAATGACTAGTATGTCATTTGACTCTGATATGCTCTTGGTCCGTTGTTCTGCATGCATTTTTTTTAATGGTGGTATGTTAACTCGTGGGAAAGAGTTCACACCATGCTTCAACAATTTGCAATTTAATGTCCGATCAAGCTTAATTACTTGATCTAAGGCATTGCCATCAACTTTTCTATGTGTTACGTATAATAAGAATGCTGGGTTAACATTTTTTTCTGGACCTATATAAGTACTGGCGAAATTAAGGTCCAAGTAGTGTGTAATTTTGCCTTTCATAAGTTAATTATTTTTCACTGCAGGCGTTAGATTACTGCCATTCACAAGGAATAATGCATAGGGATGTCAAGCCTCACAATGTTATGATAGACCATGAATTGCGCAAACTTCGCTTGATAGACTGGGGTCTTGCTGAATTTTACCACCCTGGCAAGGAATACAATGTCCGCGTAGCATCCAGGTAATAATTTATGGTAAATTGGTAATATAGGACTAATGCCGATTCTTAGGAGCAGGTCGTTTAGAAAACATGCATGTTAATGAATGAATGTTGAAAAATGAATTGTTTGAGTAGAACAAATATGTCATCTAAATTAGTAATGATCAGGTTAGGTGGCTAGGACGAAAATTTTCTTAAGTAGGTTGTTTCTTGCACATTCTTTAATAATTTTAGCATTGTGACTCTGTGAGGGTTCCTTTTGAGGTTTTTTTTTTTTTTTTTTTCACATCCTTCAGTTTATATATTCATCTTTGTGAGATGATTGAAATGTCTTTCCTTTTTTTTTCTAGATACTTTAAGGGCCCTGAACTTCTAGTTGACCTGCAAGATTATGACTATTCTTTGGACATGTGGAGCCTTGGCTGTATGTTTGCGGGAATGGTGAGAATTACAGTTACTGTATTCTGATAAGATTTGTTACTTGAACTCCAGAATGTGCTTGCATTTAGAAAATCATGTAATCAGGTCTGTTTGCTCGTCATTACTTGTTTTTGTGTAGATATTTCGCAAGGAACCTTTCTTTTATGGTCATGACAACCATGACCAGCTGGTCAAAATTGCCAAGGTAATGCTAGTACTTGTTTAGATGGCATAACTTGTTCCGTATGCACGTTATAGCTACTGTTAGAATTCCTGAAAAGAATCAAATTAGTGGTTTATGTTGGTTTATGTTTATACACAACTACTTGCACTACGGTGTTATGTAATCTAATGTAGTTTCACATTAGTGCTTACGAAGATGCACGGACTCACACTCATACACATATGGCCTAATGATTTCATGTATACATTATATATGGTCTAATCAGTATCGTTCGGTGTAACGTCCTTTCTAATGAATTGTAGTACTTCATATGCATTTCTAGGTGCTTGGGACTGATGAGCTGAATGCATATCTGAGCAAGTATCATTTAGAGCTTGATCCTCAACTTGATGCTCTGGTTGGGAGGTATGTTGAGCAAAATTCTCTTCTAAGGGATGATAATAAAATAATAGGTCGATTCTGTGAATTCTTTGTGGAGATATCTTTAGCATGCGACTGCAATGGTTCCATCTTCCGCTTGGAAGTGTTGCAGTGTAACTTATAAAACAAAGTAAAAAGGTGCAAATGCAAATGAAACCCTGCCAAGTAATAAATAATGTAAAATTAGTTTCTCCATACGTGCATTGATGCGTTGCTACACTACTGCAGGCACAGCAGAAAGCCCTGGTCTAAGTTTATTAATGCAGATAATCAACATCTAGTTTCTCCAGAGGTCACTTACTCTATTTTTTCTTGGAATTATTTACACTAAAAGCTCTTAAGTTATTCACATTATTTGTCATTTAAACATGCCAAAACGGTTTTTTATTCCTTCTGTATTATACAAATGTCAACTCAAGGGTAATTGATATGCAGGCCATGGATTTTCTGGATAAACTTCTTCGGTATGATCATCAAGACAGACTAACTGCAAAAGAGGCAATGGTAAATCTACCCTGCTTTCACAATTTAGCATTTAGTTGTTTGTGGTCAGGGTGAAGGAGGGCAACACAGTTCATTCCTCATTTTCCTTTCATTTTATCGACATCTCGATAGCTTTTACCATCATTTGGTGGATGATAAAAAGTAGCTGACGGTGGTAAATCCTGCAGGGCCATCCATATTTCTCGCAAGTGAGGGCAGCAGAAAGCAGCAGGATGCGGACGTAATTGCTTGATTAGTCCGATTACATAGACTAGAGGTCCATTGCTATTTGGAATTGGGAGTGTGTTATTTATCTGAAAATCATCACTGTGGTTTGCCATTGTCAATTGTTGTATGTTTAAAATTGATTGTATGTTTTCATGGTCATTTAAACGAGTTTTCTTTAAATATTTCTGCTTAGTTTGTATAAACCAAATTAAACCAATGCATACCCTCATTCGCCAAGCAACGCCATTGCCAACATTATGCCACTATTTTCAGCAATGCGTCTCACCTATGATCCTTTATTCTATATTCGATGGAGAAAATAACCCCGACATTTTGACCGGTTAGAATATGCACAAGGATATTTATCAATTTTCTTGTTTCGATTCATTTCTTGAAGAAAGCCGGTTTTAACCGGAAATAAGTATCCTTTTACCGATGAATTGGTCTTGCATTCGTTATCCTCCATCGCCCTTATTGCCATTATCTTGCCATGAAAAAATGACTACCATCGACGTCACCACCACCACCGTCACTCTAGCAGCTCCACCATCACATGTGATGTAGCCGCCACTACAGCCATCGGCCAGCCACTAGTCTCGCCCTTATCTTGCCATGAATGATCACCCCTACAGTGGCTGCTCCTGTTTACCAAATAAAAACTTGATAAAACCTGGAATGCTAATCCAGCATTTCCAGTGTCCAGTGTGACAAATTAACTAGCGAAAGCAATTTAATGACAAATCAACTTTCTGAAGCCTGTATAAAATGGGAATTTTCAGTACTAGGCGGGAATTTGACTTTCAAGACAGAAATCACAATACGATGAACACCAAGATTCCATGAAACACATCTCTTTTCAAGAGTTATACCACCAACATCCATGATCATTCAAGACCGAGTTTCGGTTCAACAAGGAGATACATCGCTTTCTCTCTCCCTCACTCACCACACACACACACACAAAAACAACTCCACAAGCAAGTATTAAATAGCTATCGTTCTAGAAGAACTCTTGGTAAATTCATTCCAGGCTTTAATATAGAGGGCCACGACATTCATAATCTGTCCCTGCGACTTCTTATCAAATGTTCTTTCATTTCTTGAGATGAGGGAAACAAGCGTAGACATCAGACTTGGGATGCTTTGCCTCAGCATGTTCCCTGCACTTCACTTCTGATGTGGTGCACATAAATGCTTGCATGCACACCTTACACTGCATTCAACATATAATCATCGTCATATTGAAGCAGATGAAGTGGAAAATGCATTAGCTCACCTGAGAAGCAATTAGATTTGATTACATCGATCGACCAACAATTAATTGTACTATATGTTAACTGTCTTGGCCCCAAAACTCAAATATATTGATCGACCAGGCCTTCATCAATACCTACCAACAATCGACATTATATAATAACATACTCTTGAGACCGCTGCATATGCAAACTGATGGCACATACTTCATTTGTGACTGAAACACAATCTTCCCACCCCAAAAGAAAAATCTCTCAGACGTAGGTTGAAACTGAAAGGCTCTCATAAATTATATGCAAAGTCATCTTGACCAATACATGATAATCACTATCACCTCAAACTTTCGACAAAGTAACTGAATTTAACTTTCTACCGGTCACACAAGGAGCCGATTTTATCACAAAGTACCCCAAAAAGAGGAAGAAAAACGAATGCACAGCATTGGCAGGCATAAATTTAACATTCCCTGATAACCCACTTTCAATTACATTCCATTTAAACAAGTAGGAACGAAAGTAGAAATTCTAAACCGACCGAAAGACTTAACAAATGGTTTTCTGAATTAACTATGAATCATATCATCACCAAACCAATTAGTTGAAGTAATTACCTGGATAGACATGGCTTTCTCGTTTGTTTTAAGCTGACTTCCTGTGCAAATCAAACAATTAACCCAATTGTATTAGACCAACAACTAGATCTAACCATAATCCCCAATTGGAGCTACTAAACATAATACTTCAATTTTCTTTTTCTTCTATTTTCTCACAATGGACAATTTTCAGTGAAATTTTACACATAATCATCCCCAAATAAGCTTGCAAGCAATTAAAACCTAAATCAAAATGCAAAATTTGTATTTTTTTTAATTTCTGTATCAAGTGAAAAGGGTAATTTACATCTGTGAAAAAAGGGGGAAAAAGAAGATGAAATATTTACCTTTGCCGGCAGCCTTCTGCTTCTCCAAGTTCTTCTCGCGCGCCATCTTGGCCTTCTGACCGTTGCCTCCTCCCATGGCGTGTGGTAAATCGAAAGAAAGGGTGAGGAGCTGGAAACCCTAATTTCGCAATTGAGCTCTGTGCGCTGTGCCTCTTAAGGCAGAAAGGGGGAGCAATTATTGGGTGCGAGCCGAATTAGTCAATTTCTAGCGCACCTCCCTTCTCATTGTCAACTTATATCTTTTACAAACTTTTCCATGAGTTTCTTTCCGTCACGGTAGTTGGCTAGTGAGCTATAATTGCTATGACACCAACTGCACGTGACCGGCACGATCCTTATAGAGTCCAGGCCTGTCGGCCAAATACTAGCACAGGCGCACCGAGTTTATACAAGTTGCTCTCTTTTGTCGCATTCCTTCAAGGGATTTGTATTCAAGTAGGAGTTTAAAGGATTTCAAAAGAATTTTAAAAATTCAAGAATATTCAATTAAGATTTTAAATTTATAGAAGCATACATGTATTGACTTAAAATATTAAAGATTTTGATGGATTTAGAGGATCTTATAGTATATTTTAGGCTTTAGCAAATCAAACTTCTCTTCCAAAGATTTTGAAATGAATTCACATAGAGTTTATGAAACTCTACTAGAACTCCATCAAACTTCACGAATTTATATCTCTTTTAAAAAAATTCAAAATCTCAATTGTATAACTTATGTTTGGAAATTCATATTATTCTAGATAACATTGATTTACAACTTATTTTTAAATATCATTTATGTGCTTTGATTAGAGATTGTTGAATCAAAATATTAAATGATTTTCTTTTTATGTTGAAGGTTGCAGAATTTTTAAGTGTAATAATAAAGAAACCAAAAATTTAAACTAAATTTTGTAAATCAAATAATATGGTTGTTGATGATTGGATTATTATTTTAGTATGGATTAACGTGTTTATTTCTTACTGGTGACACATCATTTGATTTGTAAATTCAGTTTAATAGTTTGATCTTTCTAGCATTATCTCTTTTTTTTTTTTAATTGTAATTCACATGTTTCTACTTTCTGTACCAGTCCTTGAGCCTGATAGTGCATTTACTATACCTTCTATGGAACATGATGTTGTCGCACTGTCAATTGATTAACGACATACTTACAAGACAAATATGGTACCCAAATGATAATTGTCACGTGTCACTTAGTTTTTTGTGTTAAAACATGTCACTTGATACAGTTTAATAATATTTTTCTTCACTTATAAATGGGTTATTGTACATGAAGTTTGATGGACTTTGGTTGACTCTCTGTTGACCCTGGAAATTACAAGACATGTGTGATATGCATACTGAATAACCATTGAGCGAACTATGTCCTCTTGTTGATGCGGGCGTTTCGATTCCCAACCGAACTTAGTCAGGCGAATGAAATGAATGCGGTGATGCAGTTACGAAACGTGTTGATGACTTTTGTACCAAGCAACTTTGACCAAAGAAGGAACACTCTCGACCTAAGATTCTAGAATCTGAAGACAAGGGGATGCAATTCAGTACTAGGTACAGGATCTTCTACACCAGGTTCGACAACTTTAATTATATTAAATCAGAGTATGGTACCCAAATGATAACTGTCACGTGTCACTTAGTTTTTTTGTGTTAAAACATGTCACTTGGTACAGTTTAATAATATTTTTCTTCACTTATAAATGGGTTATTGTACATGAAGTTTGATGGACTTTGGTTGACTCTCTATTGACCCTAGAAATTACAAGACATGTGTGATATGCATACTGAATAACCATTGAGTGAACTATGTCCTCTTGTTGATGTGGGCATTCCAATTCCCAACCAAACTCAGTCAGGCGAATGAAATGAATGTGGTGATGCAGTTACGAAACTTGTTGATGACTTTTGTACTGAGCAACTTTGACCAAAGAAGGAACACTCTTGACCTAAGATTTTAGAACCTGAAGACAAGGGGATGCAATTCAGTACTAGGTTCAGGATCTTCTACACCAGGTTCGGCAACTTTAACTATTTAGTTCATAAACCTGCATAACAATAAAGAATGAGCTTTAATAGCTTAGTACGGACATAACATTACCATGATAAATTGACCAAACTAAATTAAGAGTCATAATATCATACATAGTCAGATATCAAATCATTATTGATAACAATGCATGAATTCAATGCACACTCTTCGTCTATACCCATTAATTTGAATAACTAAACATCCAGACCTCATATGTCTCATTCTGTACTTATACCACTTGGTCCCAAGTAACTAATTATACGAACTAACTCCCCTAACACAGCCATCCCAATCTCCCACCTCTGATCTTGTGAATACATAACATATCCATTCACTTGCTATTGTTCTTTCACCTAACACAGCCATCCCAATCTCCCACCTCCAAGTCGTCCCTCACATAAAGATCGTCTTCACCGCTGATCACATAAAGAGTGTCATAGAAAATCCAATCTCTCCCCCTAAGATGTTGATAGAATTTTTTTTTTTTTTTTTTGTCAGATATACTCACACCACTTTCATCGCCATGTTGCCGCCACCACCTTATTATGACCATCTTCTCTACACCTACCACCACCATTGTCACCGTCACTGCCACCATTGTCAGTTCCATGAGCATCACTGTTACTCCTACCATAACCACCGCCTACACTACCATCACCATGATCACCACCCCTACCACCATCATCATCACCACCGCCCCCCATCTCTACTCCTCTAACACCCCAACACCACCCCGCCAAGACAATCACCATGTGACATTTCTACCACCATTGTATAAGACTACTTTGTCATAGTCATGATCACTAGTTCAATAATGAAACTTAAAAATAATATTGCTTATTTATAAATTGGTGATTAGAAATTTCATGATAATTCACATAGTTCTAAAAAAATCTAGCATGAAACTCTCTGGAATTCTGCAAGGTTTATCATGTAACTCTTTTCTTTCTCATAAAAGTACATCATTATAAGTCTACTAAATCCGTGAAAGTCTACCACTTAAAAAAATCAACTGCATTTAAATTTTAAGACAATACACCCGTCAAGTGAGAAGAATTAGATTCAAATTTCGATAGAGGTTTCACAAACAAACCTAAAATTTTTGGTCTTTGTTTAAAAAAATAAAAAGAAGCTACTTAGCACTACAATATAATAGTATTCCTTTTCACTTATAGTGAGAGGTCTTAAATTCAATTATCGCTAAAGATGAATTTGAACCATATTATTACTAGTCTATTATGAGGTTTAGGAGGTGTAGTCAATTTGGATTTCAAAGGATTTTAATGGACTTTTTATAAGTGACAGATTTTAGAGGATTTTAATAGACTTTGTAATCCTATATAGATTTGGCAGATTTACATAGATTTTCATTACGATTTTTGTGGATTTGTATGGATTTCTGTCATGGATTTCTAAGAATTTCAAAAAAAAATTAAAAATCACATGTAGAACTGTCAGATCATTTTTAATGAAATCATGCGGCTGGGACTAAACAACTCCAATACGTGTTCAATTATGGGTCTCTTCTATTTGACCTTCCTTCATTCCATCTAGCATATCGATCACAAGCTACAAGCATATTCACCATGATACTTTCGTTCCCCTTCAATCCCATGCCCACCATTTTCCTAAACTTCAATGCACACTCTGCATTCCCACCCTTCCAATACCCACCATGCATTACAATCCAAGAAACCATATTTATCTCAGGCATTTCATCAAACAACCTACATGCAACCTTCAAATCACCAAATCCAGACATTTATGTACAATCATCTAAGAAAAAGTGGAGAAGAATTCATAGTAGGACTATTCATCTTCTTTGCTCATGAAAAGAAATCATAGGGGGAGGGTTGGATTGTTGATGACATTTTGTATTTATACTTCCCACCCTCATATCCATCAAAATCCTTCATTTACAAAAATCCTAGCAAATCTTTGGCATTCCCACTACACCTAGATTTGTATGAATTTTTTAAAATTTTAATTGACTACCCATGTATTTGGATGTATTCTTCAAATCCCCTCAAATCCTAATTTGACTACACCATGATTTTCAAAGCTTTTAAAATCCTCTTTCAAACTCCTAATTACCTATACTTTGATTTTAAAGTCTATTAAAATACTATCAAATCCTAATTTGACTACACCTCCTTAGTCCACTTCCACTCCCTCACCCTCTTAATATAAAGGGTAAAGTACAAAAAATTACCTCAACTATTGGTGTCACGACACTTTCATACCTTATCTTTTAAAATTGACAATGTCATACCTCACCCCAACCCAACCCGAAGGAGGAAGAAGAAGAAGAAGAAGAAAAAAGAAGAAGAGGAAGAAGAAGAAGAAGGAAAAAAAAAAAATAATGGGAAACTCAGTTTGTCCTCTCGCCGCCCCTGCAAAAGAAAAACAAGAAGAAGAAAAGAGAAGGAAAAGAAAAAAAAAAAAACCCAGTTCGTCTGTCCCTCCCATGGGAAACTCAGTTCGTCCTCCCTCCCCCCTTACCCACCCACCCTCCCTCTTCCCTCCACACCCATTCCCCCCCATTTTCTCCGCGCCCAGGTTCTTAACCTTCAGAATCGGCCTGGCGAAGGTTTCCCGATTCCACCTCAACGAGATATGGGTTTTTTTATTTTTTGGGTTGCAGGTAATGGGTGCGAGGTTGGGTGCAGAGGGTGGGTGTGAAGGTGGGAAGGTTGGGTGCGGAGAGTGGGTGCGGAGAGAAGAGGGGGTGGGGAGCGGGGAAAACAAATTGGTTTTTTTTTTTTTTTTCTTCTTTTTTTCTGAGTTGTAGTTGCAGAAAGGAGAAAGAAGATGAAGATGGGGAGAAGAGAGAAAATGGGGGAAGGGGACGAACTAATGTTGTGATGTTGGTTTTTTTTTTTTTTTTTTTTTTTTTTAATAACTTTTCTTTATTATTTTAATATTTAAAAAATATTAAATGATTTTTTTTAGTTTTTAATAATTTTTAATAAAAAATAGATCCGGATCAAGATACATCAGCATTTAACTGAGAAATAAACGGCCAAGCTAACGGAAGGTATAACATTGACACAAATTCTAAAGATGAGGTATGACATTGTCAATTTTAAAAAATGAGATATGAAAGTATCGTGACACCAATAATTGAGGTAATTTTTTACACTTTATCTTAATATAAATGATACCATTTGCTCAAAATAAATAAATAAAGAACGATCGTAATGAACAGAAGAGCCCGGGTAACCGAACTTCCTCTCGAAACGACGACGCGTCCAGCTTCCTCTACAGTTGTACTACTCAGTCACAGGCTCCGCTCCTTTCACAGTTAACAGGCATAAAGAGAGCCCATCTCCATGTACGAACGTTGAAGTTTCAAAAACCCCAAATTCCATAATCCATTGACAGATCTCTCAACTCCCGATCCGCACCAATGCCTCCTCCAATCTCCGAGATCCGAAGCTTCTCGCTCTGATCGATTCCAAGAAGCTCCGAATCGGAATCAATGGCGGTGGTGATTGAGAGCTCCGTTTGGGAACCGAATCCCGGCGTATACATATTCATCTTCCTGGTCTCTCTCTTCTCCATCATCGTCTTCCCTTATGCTTCGAGCAGCGGCAGCAGCAGCAGCTCCGGCAAAGCTCCGTCGCTCTTCGACCATGGAATCTCCCCCACCGCTTCCTCTCTTCGCTTCCAGCGCAACTTCCTTCTCATCTATTCTCTCGCCTCAGGTCCGTACTCCTAACGACGTCGTTTATTATTCCCTTCCACTTCCAGATAGATCTTCTCTGTTTAAATTCAGACTTTGTTTGGTTGCCGGGAAAGTTGAACTCAACTTACATAGAAATTTATATTTTTGTACTTCCATTTTGTCATTGCTCAAACTGAAAATCGCATTTTTAATAATCTAACTTAGTAATTTAGCTATTAAATTTCAATCACTGATCGGATACTTTTGTACTTTGATGACGCCAGTTATGGAAGGAGTGTGGTCTGTATTTGGCGAGTTCGAATTAGCTTACCACGGTTTGAGCAAAGAGCAAATGATGTTTTCTCTCTGTGTTGGATTTGCAGCATCTCTCATTGTTGGTTCTTTCTTAGGCGTGCTTTCGGATTTAATGTGAGTGTCGATTTCTAGCTTAACTTGTCAGTCTTGTTTCTTGTTTTATATTCGGATGCCCAATTTTAAACCCTAATTGATTTCCCTCTGTTGTTGTTTTGTAATTTGTGTAGCGGTCCAAAGAAAGTTTGCATCCTCTTTTGCATTCTACATCTCTTTCTTGGCTTGTGGAAGAGAATTACTGATCACCCGAGCATTTTGGTGGCGAGAATTTGCTTGTCTCTCACAGCTTCTATTTTTTCAATCAGTTTTGAGACGTGGATGGTAGTTCAACACGAAGAGGTTGTTAAGAAATGTCGTCTTTCAGATTTGATTTGTGTGCAGCAATTAGTCGAGGAAATGAAATGGTTAATATATAGGCTTTGTGTTTGCAGCAAGCGCACAGGCAAGATATGTTGAGTGAGACGTTCTGGTTAATGAGTTTCTTTGATGCTGCATCTCTTATTGGAAGCCAGGTGCTTTCGAATTGGCTCATTGGTGATAATTTGGAGAAAAACATGGCTTCTCATTCTACTACAGCCGTCTTCTTGGCAATACTTGGCTTAGTCTGTCTCCTGAGAGGATGGACACAAACCCCACAAAAAGTAGCTCTTAAGGAGTATAGGGCATCTTTCTCTGCATATATTTTTGGTGGTAAGATTCCATTTTGTTTATAAACTTCCATCTACTTAATATACTCAAAAACAAATTATACTGCTTCGATACATTCATTATGAAAATTAATCAATTATTAGATGAGATTGATTGAGACTGAGTGTTTAATCATTTAAGATTTGTCAAATGCTTTCAATTTTTGCAAAACTCTATTCATGAGGACCAAACTCTTATGTGCACTGCACTTTATTTCTTTCGTTGTTTATGTTTGCCTCCATTGACACTGAGCTGTATCTACTTGCCCCTCCATTGATACTTCTTGTGTATGTTTCACCATTTAATACCATCTTGAATAGTTAGTTACTGATGTCATCTTTCCTTTGATGGGACGAGTACTTGTAGCTGTAGAGCATTTTCACACTTTTATCTGGAAGTTTCGTTTTTATAAAGTTCCCCATTTCTCATAACTGATTATTTTCCAGTTAGAGGTCTGATTATGTTATGTGTTCTCATATAAGTATTTAGCTGCTCTTCTGCATATGCTTTACATGTCATGGTGTGAACTATAGGCGTAAGCTTTAGCTATGAATTTGAGGTTTATTCTTACTGTTGCGACTTTACACGATTGCCAGATAAAAGAATATGGCTTTTGGCATGGGCACAAGCTTGTCTTCACTTCTCTACAGCAGTCTTCTGGATACTATGGGCCCCTACAATAGTGGTATGGTTATCTATAATTAAAATTAAACTATTTAATAGAAGTGAAAGTAACCATGCTTAATATCTGAAGGACTTTGAACTTTGCACTAATGAGATTCTTTTCTTTCCTCCATAAATTGAACAAACAATTCTTTCTTGGTTTCTTCCATCTGGGTTAATTTAAAAGATGTATTTGAAGTTTTGGACCTTGGATATCTCTTGAGACTGAGAGTTTCATTTTCTTCCTATAATTTTAATAACAACATGATTTTAGGCTGATGGACGAGAAGTGCACCTAGGGTTGATATATCCATGTTTTCTGGGCTCAAGAATGCTCGGAAGCACAGTATTTCCGTGGCTGAATAGTGGACTGTCATCCCTTAGAACTGAGGATTGCCTAGAATATGCATTCATCATGCTGGGGCTTGTATTATTCATAACAGCTTATGATTATCAGGTAAAGATGTTTCTGTTTTGGAATATTTGAGAAATATAATATCACTCCTGTTTGATGCTTCTTGTTCAGAAGTTTAAACTTTTAAACGCTGATATGCAGGAAATTGGAGTTTTAGTGACACTGTTTTGCATATTTCATGCTGGTCTTGGTGTGGTTTTGCCTTCACTTGCCAGATTGAGGACCATGTAAATTAAACAAGTGCTCTTTCTTTCTATTAGCTGATATCTCTTCTCTCAATTTTTGTTACGTGGATTTTTATTTTATAGTTTTTGTGCCTTTACTTGTTTGTTAACAGGTATGTCCCTAATGCACTCCGTGGAGGGATGATAAGCCTTTCTCAAGCACCTGCAAATGCAGCAATTCTGCTTTTTCTGGTGCAGGTAAGTGTTTCTTTCTAGAATCACTTCGATGTAGAAAAAGAAAACATATAATTAAGCATCTCCCGCAGCCACAGTAACAGAAAGTTCATTCGACTGGTGATTTCCATCATGGAGATTATTGATTTGGCATTCATCCACTGACTTTTATTGCTACGGTGGTATTGATGCAGGGGAAATATTACCATAACATCGGTAATTCAACAATCATAGCTTTTGCTGCCCTTGGGCTATTCACAGCAGCTGGTTGCATGCATGTCTTGAAGCGATGGGGGAAGCAACCATATCACAACTGGCATAAATTGTGATGTTTTTACCTAATCATCACCGAGCTTATCGGCCGAGTTGGAGAATCCTGATCATCAATTGCTCAGTCCCTGACTAGCACAATGAGTGTGTTTAAAGAAAAAATTATGTGGCTCTGAATCTGCACTGAGGTATGCCACTATAGAAGAACATAAATATTGAAAGAAAGTGTGAAAGATTAGATTGATATGGTCTTGTATACTCCTTAGGGATCAACTGACTGACTGCAAGGCGGAAATCAATTATCGGTTCCTTGTCACTCAGTTCGATTCAAGTTGCCCAATCCATCTCACACGCTCAACTTTCAGGGCACGTCTGCTGGTTAGTCAGGAAAAGAGCAAGGGATTTACATGTTTACTAGTAGATTTTACAAGTTTATAATCGGCACCGTTGCAGTTCAGGGATTTATAAATCGACAGTAGCTGAGAGCTGCAAATCTCTGCCATCCTTATTCCGAAGATATATTTTTTCATTTTTTTGTTATGTAGAACTGAAACAGAATGGAATTGTCAAAATTCTTGCACATGAAAATACATCTTATTTTTACCTGCCACACATCATTTATTTAATTCAGTTGCTAGACGAGATACAAGCCGTTAACACGACGGAAAACTTCTCAAGATTCCGATCTATAACACAAAAGACCCCCCCTGCCGCCGGCTGTTGTTGTGTGCTTAATGCTCAAGTGAAGATAAAATTTGAGCATTATGCAACAATATATTAGCAACTAATCCTCTTGTTCTTGATCCCTGACCCACTTTGTAGCTACCCATTTTTCCCCTTCGATTACAGGACAGCTCCCGTGTAATGCTAACTGCAGAGGCATCATGCCAATTACGAAATTAGAATGGATGATTAAACAGTAATTGTATAGGAACGTTTAACTGTTGCCGATTTGGTGCACAACGTATTGTATAAGGACACCGACAAAATAAACGAATAATTTCTCTCAGACAGAATGATGTACAGCAGTCGGGATAAATTTCTCGAGACAAGCTAAGGAAAACGTTTTTTCTTTCTGTTTTTCATCGATGATTCTGGAAATGATGGTAATAATAGTGGCAATGGGAAGCAAAGCAACACTAACCATATCAATTGTACCATTTGGAAGCAATGAATAAAACAGAAGTCCATCCCCTTTGCGTGGCTTCACTTTCAAACCAACACATTCCCGAAAATCATAGGTTCCATCCGTGTTTGAGCCATTCTGCAGATCAAATGCAGGATGATTGATAATGAACAAACCAAAAAGGCAATGAGAAGCACGGAGGTCTTGACCTTACCTCGTAAGGAAACATGGTTTCACCACCTTCTTGAACATCACTTAAATACAACAAGAATGATGCAACCTGCACAAGTTCAAATATGACTCTTTAAGAGCTTTTGGTAAATAAACAGTACAATTCTTTCAAATCTCTAGCTTGGTAACGATATTATTTGAGAAAATTCTAGAACTTGTCGTAGAACATTTTTTGTGACTTAAGACAAGAAAACCATGACATCCGTTTGGTTTCGGACTAGCTACTCCAATTTATCCAGGTAACATACACTGATATGTTTCAAAGTGACCAACTGTGCTTTCCATCCCAACTGTAGTAGTTGTGCAAATGTAGCAAATAAAACATTGAGGTTTATCTTTGCCTAGTTTTATCTGTCTGGACGTGGGAGTGCAAGTGTATCGGTGATACATAACCACAAACATTATGAGTGCAAGTGTATCGGTGATACACAACCACAAACATTATGATCATAAAACCAACAAAGGCCAATTGAAAATGCATGTATTACGCTGAAGATGTACCCTTTGGCTCTTCTGAGGACCATATTGATCAGGGTGGAATGCATCATAATGAGAATTATACTTCTGCCCGATCTCATAGCGCAAGACGTTAAATGCCTGAAACATGATGATATCCTCAGCTCAGACAATTTTACAAACTGGCCTGAAATAAAAGGTTAACTAATTCAACAAAAGGATCAGCGACTTTCAGCAACACTACACCGATTTCATTTATTTATGTTTCTATTGGGTGGTGGGCACATAACAGAAACACATAGACATGTGAGGAACAGAACCAAAAATCCATAAAAATAACTAGTATGTAAATGTAAAGTCTTCTCATCTGATCCAACAGGATTATTTTGCAACAACCCTTCTTAACCCAGTTTGCGCTTGCAGAACAATTACATTACAAGTTCAAGGAATATAATTTGGCAACACAACATACGATATTTAACTTCACACTGTCAGCTTGGACATGACTGAAAAACTTCCACAAGTATTGCTTACAACAAAACATGACAAGCCATTATGATCTTTGTATAGATATAGATAAAGAAATGACAAGGATGATAATCACAAGCTCAAAAACTATAACTAAACAGTACCTCTCCGTGTGTCCTGGGAAGCATTGTAGCCCTTGAAATCTTTTCCTCAATCACATCCAAAGTCCCGGATTTATCATCAGAAGCAGAAAGAAACACGCCTGAACTGCTTCAAAATACCGTGTAAGCATGATATGTAGCATCTATAACCGCTCATCTTTACAAAAACTACTTACATGTGAACCCGAATCACATTAAATGCTATTTTTTCTAAGCTTATATCAACAATCAACAATAAAAATGGGATGCATAACCAGTACTAATAGTGCAAATCCTGAAAAGGGTTTGCTGATTCACCACAACAAATGTTGAAAATGTACCTTGTTCGTATATCCTTTGTGCTTTCCTCTGTCTCTCCTTCTCGCAAAGCCAAAATCGATGGTTTAAGGCGTGGTTTTGCCAAACCGATTATGCTTTCGCATTGCTCCGCAGTTGCAAAATTAGGAAAATATAATGCTCGCGGATACCAACTCAAAACCTATAAGCAGTTCATATGCCCCCATTTCTTGTCAGCTAATGAAAATTCAATCTTTGATTACAACCCTAAATTGATCAAACTGTTCATAACAATCCAAGAAAAAAACATTAAAAAGCAACAGAAACCTGAAAGGGAATGGAAGTTAAAGAATCGTCACCGGTCTTGCCATAAGGCATCGAATTGTAATCTGTCTCCAACAGTCTCGCTCTCAGCCTATTACCACCACCACTCACATGCTGCCAAAAAATTCAAAAATAATCTAGTCAATTTTGAAAAATTGAAAAACCCCATTAAAGTTGTTGATCAAAATAAAAAACCCAATAGAGGAAACGGGGAAATTTTACCTGGGAGAGGAGGGAGGAACCATAGAAGCCAGCAAGGAAGAAGAAGGAGCAGAAGATCAAAGTGGTGGGCAATCCGAGTATGCCCTTGAACTTGAACTTGGAGCTCCAATTCCCTTTCCCACTTTTGGGTCTCATCGGTAATTTCACTTCCCTTCCAATGCTGCTGCTGGCGAATTGGCAATGGCGGTGGTGATCGGTGGCTTTTATCTGGTCTCTTCTGTGTTAACAGTCACTCAAATACTGACTAATTGCAGGGTCTCAGTCGTGCTTTTAGAGTAAGCAACCCGCCTTCTTTTGATTCTAATTGCACGCACGGCACCGCGGAGGTTGGTGTTGAGAAAGACTGGGATTTTGTGATTTGAATTATTTACAAAATTACTGGGGGTGGTAAATTTTTAAGAATATAACAGGAATACGGTCCAGTAAAAATATAATTAATTAGAAGCATAAAAAAATAAAAAAATTTGACTAATTGTATTATTACGCTTATTTATTCAGCCGTGTTATCGGGACACGAAAAGTCTTTTTGGGATTTTGGAGATTTGGAAATTGGAATCCAATGGTAACTAGGAATACAGAATTGTGTCTCTTTCTGACAAAATCGGCAGGCAATGTGGCGTGGAGCATCTTTTTCTTTTTGGTTATGCAGTTTCACTGTTCAGTTTTTCCACTTTCCTGTGGAGTCAAGTCTCAACGGCTCAATGTAATCACAATCATAATGTTACTACTAAAATACGATCTGATAATATTTTTCTTTGACAAAGCTAATCTTCTCAAATTAGGGCAATATGTAAAAGTGTTTGTTAAACTATTAGCCTTCCCTTCCCTCCCCTCCCCCTGCATCCGCACCGTCGTCCCCCTCCCCCTCCTGCTCCTGATGGGTGGTTTTCAGCACTCCATCCTCTTATCCCTTACCGGTCTCTCCCACCATTTTGTGAGCCTCCCTCCAAGATATGGGCCATGCCTCCTCCCAAGGTTGTATTACTTGATTTGGGGTTAGATCCCTGGTTGCTGGTTGGATGGATGACTTCATTATTTCGATACACATTTTGTGTATTTAGTTGTCTTCAAATTATCAAGAAAAATATCATTCATCTAAAGCAAAGATAAACATTCTGCTCACAAACTTGCCAGACATAGCAAAGCTCAAGTTTGGCCCGTTTATTATATGAACTCGGAACTGTGTTCTCAGGACTAGGGCCAATACCCTTTAACCCTTTAATCACATGAGCTACAAGGTCTTACACCGTCCCATGAAAGCACGAGAAATGTGCACAAAACAGCGCACCCTTATGCGGTCCCATGAAAGCATTAGGAATACACACGACACTGCGTGGAAGGCTAAAGGTGTTCACGTTTCATTTGCACAATCAACGTCGCCAACACACTGTTTACAGACAAGAACAAAATTACTTTTTAAAGTCCCTAACATTTGGATAATCCTATTTACAAGCCTACATAATCGACGGTCCAAAAGTACACACACAAAGGAGAGGCTTGCACACATGTCCAATTGTGTGGGTCCCCCCTTCCAATGTAAGTATATAAGTAGTACCACACATTTTGCCTACCTGGCTTTGGGTCATTGTCCAAACAAGCCCTCCTCTTCCAAGTAAATTACAAATATGATTTTCCGAATCAGTTGTTTTCCTCCACGTAAATAATGCATGGTCCCTGAAAAAACACAACCATCCCTGTAAAACACTCATCTCCTCCCCCGGTTTCTTGCCAGTTGAACCAAGAAATTTAGGATACCCCTCGGCTGCACTCGGTTCGGTTCGATTTTCAGGAAATAGATGCTCCGAGCGCAAGTGTATTGCTCCCTGCTCTTTAGTCCTCCACAAGTCAAGTTAGTGACGGTTGGTAGCAGCTCCAGCTCATGGCTCATCCAATACCGTAGTGCTAGAAGGCTGCCCAGGGGGGTTTCTATCAAGGCCTTGAAAGATGGGGCAGGCGGGGAAACGAGCGGCTTCCGCGGGCAGAGTTGGGATCCGGGGTCAGAAATTGAGGTTCCTTTTGAGCAAAGGCCGGTATGTTTTCATTCTCTGTCTAATTTTGCAGTAGTCTCAGTCCTTCATTGTTCAACAGAAAATTTGATGAGCTTATTCGCTGAACAAGAATTCAGTCGGTAATAACTTCAATTCACTACTTGAGGAAAACAATTCAGATTTTTGTTTTTCTTGCATAAATCAGAAAATATAAAAGGATGACATAACCAAGAAGAATAAGTATGACCAATGACTAATGAAAATATGCCGTCCAAACAAATTTGTGGGTCTTATAGCTGAGTAGCATCTACCTGCACTTCAAGTCATGGGATTGAATCAAAGAAGGTGGGTAAGTGAATCCCAAAAGGGTTGGGAGAAGTTTTGCGGGAAATTCAGAGAAATCCCTTCTTATGCACCCCACTCAATGAGCAACAAAGAAAATAAATAAGGAACAAAAAGGAAGAAAATCAAATAGATTCCTACACATCATGTCTTGCATGCAATATGCCATAAAAAAATCCGTACTTAGAGTTATTTGATTCCATGATAGGTGAATGAGTACTCGTCTTTGAAGGACGGAGCCTTGTACTCGTGGGGCGAACTGGGACCTGGGCCCTTTTTACTTCGACTCGGAGGTTTGTGGTTGGTAACTTTCACAACTCTAGGATTGCCTATTGCAGCTGCAAGCTTTAATCCATCAAGGGTAAGATACAGATATTGTGCATTTGAAAGTCAACATCAGAAAATATATGTGGATATGATGAACAGATGGGCCAATATCATATGTATAGTAGTGTAAAAGCAAAAAAGCTTAATGTCTCGGCACCAACAAGGTTTCTGGAAACTAGAAGAGAATGTTCTCTGTGCTTCCATGCCTAAGAATATACTCAAATAGTTGTAAAAATCACACACAGAATCCCTGACATGCTACTAAACAAGTTAAATAGGAAGATGTAAACCCAGCAAGAGGTAATTCATTTGTCTTTACTTAACCTGTTCCAACCTTACTTTATCTGTTCCAACCTTGCAGGACCCTCTAAGATTTGCGCTAGCCGCTGGAACTGGAACCCTTTTTGTTGTATCGTTGATTATCTTAAGAATTTATCTGGTACGGTTTTCAGCTTACTTCATCTTACAATCGCGGCTGCAGTGCATGAGTAAAAGTTTTGCATTGAGTACTAACTAAACCTCACAGCCAAAACTTAATACTATATAAGACAGACACATGGTTTGTTGTATTACTGGCAACCATGGATTAAATTCTACTGGTAGAACATTACAACCATCTATTATTTGCTACCAGTCCCGAATACCACCCGGTATGTATGGATTGCACGAAAACAAATGCAAGGCTTGAAACTTCATGTGGATAAATTAAACAGTACTATGGTAAGCAATAAGAACAAAGAACAAGTTTATCTTTTAACAGAATGAACTTTACATCTAAGCAATTTTCATACTTAATATTTGTTTGGCAGAACCTCTCTCATTGTACAATCTTTAAAGCAAGTAAATCATATAATTACCGTACTGCAGGGATGGAGTTATGTTGGTGATAGGCTACTATCAGCAGTTATACCTTACGAAGAGAGTGGTTGGTATGACGGACAAATGTGGGTAAAGCCACCTGAGGTTAGTATTTTAACCTTATTCCTTCTCAGTTGAGAAACAAGGATGAAATCCCTCTGGAAAAGGTTAACCTTCCAAGTCTTATCCACATATCTTACTCAAGTATTCAACTGAAGAAGGCTAATCAGAATATTCAAAGAAATTAACTGGTCACATAAGGTTTAACGTTAATATTGCCTATACATCAAAACCTTGAAAAAAAAATATGATTTATGCTATGAAAAATGAATCCTGTCACTTATCACTAGAGCTTAATAGTTAATACTCGAATAAAGTTTCTGAAAGTCGGACTGTGTCCATCGTGTGACATATGTGTGCATATGCAATTATGGTCATAAATATTATACGTTGCATTAACTAAGTAGGGTCATTGAAGATGCAAATTTGAAGATATCAAAACTTGGTCATCACGCAATTTAAACATTTCATAAATGGTGTCTAGTACATAATAAGAATGAAAAGAGAACACTCAATCAAGCAAGCTAAAACAGATTCCAATTCAACAAAAAGGGAAAAAGCAGATCGGAACTATCTATGCTCGTGCCAACCCATAATTTAGGCAGAAAGCATCAATGGGGCATCATCCCAATCAATTTCATCATTTGATTAATGAGAAATAAACATCATGTAACAGAGAGCACCTTGTAAGAATATGCTCAACTGGAAATACAGCGTAAGCACTTCCACAATACCTCTTCTGCCGTAATTCAGGCACTGTGTTGCTATGGTGGCCATTTCACCTCGCTGCCAAATGCCAACCGCTGAAAAAATGATAGCGAGCAGACCTAAGTAAAGCATCTGATCTTAATTTGGGATCCAGAAAAACGAATAAGAAAAGAGTCACCCATAGTTAAGAACTTTCAGAAACCATCAATAAAGATCAGTTTATTCTACAAATTGTCCAGTTGAGTTAACAAGCAAAATGAATATGATAAGGAAGAAGGGCATACGAACATCCTTCACCCTCACTCTGCTACTCATACAGAATAATGCAGGAACTATCCTTGACTAAGATATGGTTACTGAAAACTAACAGCTCACTATTTTCCTTGCAGGTCTTGGCTCGTGACAGACTCTTGGGATCTTACAAGGTACTAGCAACAAGAACTTGAAATAAGCAAACAATCAAAATATAACCTAGAAAAGGATGATAATGAAATTTGTATTTGAAAATTTATGGTGCAGGTCAAACCAGTCATCAAATTGCTGAAACAGACTCTAGTTGGAACAGGGGCATTACTTGTTACAGGAGTGCTGCTGTTTATCTTTGCTACACCAGTGGAAGACCTCGTTCGCACCACATTTGGCACGAAACAAAACTCGTCAGATATTTCCGCCTCAAAAATCAGCTCAAAGTTCAATATAAGGTTTCACTCTGATCTATTATATACAGATTGCTTTTGATACTTTGTTCTCTAAATGTTGCTTGATCATGCAGTAAAGAGGAGTTGCTTAAATTGCCTACGGATGTGAAGGCCAATGATGATCTAGCAGCAGCCGCTGCTGAGGCTGCTGACGGAAGACCAGTCTACTGCAGAGATAGGTTTTATCGTGCATTAGCAGGTGGACAATACTGCAAATGGGAGGACCTGCTTAAGTGATGGGTCGAAGGCAAAAGATAAAATCATAATTCATATGCAATTCAATATTCTACAAAATTGTTTTACAAACAAAGTAGTGGTCTGCATGGAAATGCCATGTCCATCCAAGGAAAATCCAATAGCACCAGCAAATAGATGGGGGGTGGGGTGAAGGTTAGCATGCGACAGTGGAATGCCTCTTAGTCACTACTACATTTTATAAAACAGATTTTGTGAATGTCATTGAACAAATGCTGATAAACTATGCTTTGTAATTTGTAACATATAACAACAGAATCTAAAGGTATTACTTTATTTTAGAAGAAAAATGATCAGAAAACAGACATAAAGAAAGCACGAGAGAATGATTCAATGTGGAACATATTTACAATAGGTGATGTGACAAAAATCGAGCAATTAAGTTTCCTTTACTACTTTGTACTGTACATTATGCCATTAATGGAGAAGAAAAATGATCAACTTTCCAAATAAGCGGCAGTTGTCATGGTAAATATCCATGATAAACCAAAGAACAGGGAACAAAAAAAAGAAAAATGTATTATATATATCATTTGCTATGTGAGGCACATTAAATACCATAACTCTTCAGTCACTGGACTCACGAAGTTGAGATGTATCTAATGCATGCTCTTCTCGCCTAAGACAAGAATTCTTGAGAACAGCTTCAGGAATCAGAACAACAGCTGTGGAAACAACTAGAAATGATATCTGGAAAATAAGTGCCAGTCATACTTGGCGTCCAAACAACCTTGACCAGTGGCATTTTTGAGAAATAAGAAGCAGAGCCTCCGATGTCAGAACTCAAGCATTCCACCCCCAAAGATAGATCAACCAAGTTAGTGTAACTGTGTAAGTCCATAAACAGTATCCCCTGCAAACAACTTTCTAGCACTGGTTATGAGCTGTAGCCTTCAACAATATGCCAAGAGCCATTTGTGATCATGGATACAAATAGCTATGCCATATCATAATATAAGTTAAGCTCAAACGGTATCCCTCCCAGACAAGCTCTGCAAAGTCAAGACAAACGGCCTTCAATATATGTTCATGGTAAAAACTGATAGCAGGATATAGAACCATCGATTTTGTACTTATTGCTGCAGTCTAAGCTTTCTGACGCCAGATTAGAGCAAAGCACTGTTGAATACTTGGAGGAACACACAAGCGTAATTCCCCGACTAGTATACCTCCTAAATAAGTCTTTTGCACCAATTGAGAATTTTAAAAAGTCGTCTGTCAACGACATCCCTGAATGTATTTTTCCTTCTTTGTGCATCTTCAAGATCTAAAGTTCTATATGCAAGAGCAAGAAGATACATCGCAGGATGGAGTCTCCTACACACACCACAAGAGGATGGTAAGTGCATTTCTAAATGTATGAGAAGACCAAGTAAAGTCATGATGAACTAATGGAGGGATAATATCCTAACGATCCCCTTGAACAAATTCAATTATAAAAATGAAAGACAACAGCATTGTTCAGAATGGTGGCTTTTTTACTAGACACACGCCAACATAAAAAAATAAAAAAATAACCATTCACAAATTAGAAAATAAATGCTTAAATTTCACCTTGCACTAAATTTAAAGTATAAGTTGACCTGCTTCAATACATACAAGTTGAGCATCAATCCCTATTCTGTTTAGTAAATTAGTTATACACTAGATTTAAGAAAAACTGTGAATTATGAAATAGAGTTCAAGATCCAAAGCACATGACATTACTTACTTTTCAAATTGTTTTCCAGCATCAAAGCCATCCCAATATCGTTGAGATGGCAACATGCGGCCTTTCTTATCTCTACCAAATGTTTCAATATACCAACCGCCTATGTCATGCATGCCACAGCGAGGCTCAAACAGCCAAAATCTGTTCATACAAGTTAAGAAAACAATTTATTGATATGCTGGACTCATCTCACATGACATACATAGGACTAAAATGATAATTTTACCAATAAATTGTTGGGTTGATATGTAAAACAGACTCACTGGAGAACACAGAAGTAGATTTATAACTTTGTTCATGTCCTTGACTATGACAATGAACAAACAATAAAATTGCGCATGACAAAACCATATCAAATTCTTGCAAGAAAGAAAAAATATGGAGGCACATTTACTTAAAAATAAAGTATCAGAATGTTCTTTCATACAGATGTCATAGCTTACTTGCTTGGTGGCAACCGAGCTCTACTGCATCTGCACTCACAAACAGAAACATTTTCTCCCAATTCATACCAATACAAGTGTTTCACCTGTAAAAATTACAAAAATAAATACATGAATAATACTAATCCAACAATATAGTCTATATATAATATATATTATAAGCACCTCTTATCCAGATATAATTACAATCATAAATAGATATATAACAATAACTAATACCAGGCAGGCATATATGGTGAGCAATAAAGGTTCTTAACAAGATGCTTCATGCAACGACATACGTATGTACAAAAAGAAGCCCTGTTGAATCAAAATCTGTTCATGTTGGAATATACTATGCATTCAGGCAAAATGAAATGTCTTAAAGGAAAAGATTCCCAGTATGCCTTACCCAGTAGAAAAAGGTTAATCATCAATACAACGAAACCCATTTTAGGTTAAAGAACCATTGGCAACCATATGTTAATGACTTGGTGCATGTACATCTTAGATTATGCACCACTAGAATATATTAGAAACTTCTTAAATCATGCAGGATCTGAAATCTGCAGAATCACCCTCTAATCAAGTATGGAAAATTAGAAAGTGTAATATTGAAAAATATATACATTAACTTTAAGAAGAAATTTTATCAATAAGGATGAAAGACAGAGCAAAATAACTCGAAGAAACCAGGTTTACGAACCAGCAATGTTCTATGCTTCATAATCACATGGGTTTTCAAACCACTGCTATTGTAGACAAAGCAGGACCCTTCCTCTGAGCTAGTCCCTAATCCTGTTATTGTACCCAACAGAATCCTTGATCCAATGGCACCACCTAAAAATGAATCTTGAGAAAACCCTTTGTTGGTATGCACAGGATTTTCATTACAGCTGAGAAAAACATGAATGCGATCAGACTCTTGATTCTGTTTCCCATCACAATTGTTTTTTGGAGGGACTCTGGTGGCTGTAGCAACCACCATTCCACATAGATGCAATTCTAAATCTTTATATGCATCTGATGGGTCATTTTTGATATCCCAAGTTTCTGTATTTGCGTTTCCAACATCATCAACACCACCAGAGTTCTTGCTGATGCTAGAGTCCTCAACAGAATGACAAATTCCCAAACCTGCAGATGTGGAATAATTCAATTTCATATTGTTGTAATATGACAATTCTGGAATTTTATTGCCCAGACGGACCATCCCAAAAAGATCACGCCCTGAAACCAAATGCAGCACCTCTGGAGTTTCATACACAGACCTCTCTTCAGCTTCGAAGCAGTCCGGAAGAAGCTCCATAGACTCTATCAGAGGGCCATAGTAAGCCGCATGTATGGCTGAATAGAAATCTCTCTCAAGAACATCAAAATAACCTGTACCAACCACCACCCTCCTCTCTGACAAAACATCATTTATAGCTAGTCTATACCACTTCAACCATTCAACAACTTCCATCTTCTTATATGTACTTAGATGACCCTTATACATGCTGAATGTCATGACATGCTCAGAATGTTTCTGCACAAGCTTTCTCTGAGATAACAGGTCCATGTCGTAATGGGCCCTCTTTTCGCAATCCGAAAGAATCTGCAATCCATTACCAGTTAATCAGTTATACAGTCAGATTAGAATACCTGTATTTTCCTGGTAATTTATAAATTCCTTTCTGGATTATTGTTCATAGAAGGGTAAATACCCTGCAATCTAATTCAAAGAAGAACACGTAATGCTTGTATGGAGCAAGCTAAGAGTATTCACTATATTTTCCTTCAGTATTCCCTTGCTTTAAGACTACAGCACAAGCTGTTTATGAAAGCAAGTTTAATTTGGATACTTTAATCTTTATCCGTTCCTGAACATTTGCTCTTGGGGGAGAGAAGAATATAGCAAGTTTTTACGGTCTTAAGAAGAATAACAGGAACTTTTCGGCCAGATGTGAGGAGGTGGATTTTTGTGGGATAGAGTTCGATTTTGAGTTTCTTTGTGGGCATCAATGTCTACTAAGTTTTCGACATATTCGAATTTCCTTTATTACAAGCCGATTCTGTAGTCCTGTAAGATGATTTGTTCCTTTAGGGAACTTCCAAATAGCCAGCATTTCAATTCGACTGCGGATATCGCCATGTTTATGATTCAACTACTATCTAAATTCCTTTATTATGTCATGTTAGTTTGGGATTTTGTTTGATTTAATTGCAATAATCCACCCATTTTTCAGTAATCCAATTTCAGAATTTAAGACTGACTTCTTTCTTTTGAATGCAAAACTACCAAACCTTACTTCCTATATGTGATAATTAATCCAAAATTTAATTGCAATAACAATGCGATTATTTGTATAATTAAGCTCAGAGAATTGGAGCAGCGAAGATACAAACCTCATAGGCGGCGAGGATTTGCACGAATCGGCGAGAAGCATCGGAATCGGTCTTCGACTCGGCGAGGTCCGGGTGAGTTTGCTTCGCCAATTTGTGGAAAGACACTTTGATTTCGGCAAATGAGCTGGTTTCGGAAACACCTAGGACCTCGTACGCGTTTTCTGAGCCGAACTCGGTCCGAGCTGACTCGGTTCTGCTACAGAACCACTGAGCTCCTCCACTCCGATTGAAGAGAAATAAGACATTGCGCCTTGGGTTCTGTTGAAGTGATAGCAGAAGAATTGGACGACGGCGAAGCAGAACGTCGTCTTTGCCGTCATGAGAAGCCATTTTCTAGTATATTTTTTAATTTAATTTTGGATTAATAGTGGGGGAACTTTGGAAATGGTGGAGCTGGAAGAGATGGGGTTGGTTTTCGCCCTTTCGGTAGGCGGGGAACAGTGAAGGTGCGGTTTCGGAGTCCGGAGGTAGTCTGCTGAAGTTGGTACGTGTCGTTTGTTGCTCATTCTTAGGGGAGTTGAATTTTATGGTCTTGACACGTGGCCAGAAAGTTTAATGGATTACGTACGAATACAGTTTCATTGGTTCGATTTGGTTTTCTTTTGGGTTTTTCTTTTAGAAAAATTAATAAAAAAAGTTTGAAAACTTTTAATTTTAATAAAATAAAAAGTAAAACGAATAGTATCATGATTGACTTTTTAATTTTAACATTGAATAGCTGCTCTACCACAACACATTTGAAGCTTTCTCTATGTGCGCATGACTCCACCATACAATTGGCATCATATCCATTCAAATTTCAAGTTTTTGTATTCGTCAAGTTTAATCAAGTACCCTCCACTCCAAATTTCGAATCGTTGACAATTTTGTTATCTTAAATTTATTGTGGTTTTTAGGGTTTCATTCAATTTTAGTTATGAATAAAATAAGGATTAGGTCTGAGAGTTATTCCATTTTAGAATTAGGTCTGAGAAGGGCAAAGTGTCATCCTTGTATCCATTTATAACATCGGGCATGAAAAAAGTTCTTGAATGTAGTATAATTTAGTCAAATTATATATTCTTTTAGTGCATATGCAAATATGCTCATGATTTGTTTATTCCAAATTCCATTAGTTAATTATATAATTCCTGATTTTTCATTAGTTAATTCCAAATTTTATTAGGCATTGGACATAATTTTTCATTAGTTAATTCCATTAGCCAAGCCTCAATCACTGAAGACAAAAATTGCTGAATAGTGTGTTTTATTGCTTATAGTTTGATTGAGTCAATTATTGTTAATTTGATCAAATTTATATTATGTTGTTGACTCTTTATGGTATTATTTAAAATAGTTATGGAGAGGTTAAGAGAAAATCAACCGAAGATAGCCTCTTACCCTTTACAATGAATATTCCTGAAAGCTCAAATGAAAATGATATATTGGCAAATCTTCCAGGAGATCCTGGGCTTTGACTTCGGATATCAGATCCAAATCAAGTCCGAAGAGCTTTTTCACAAAGGGAATTGGTTCAACCTCGAACCCATCAATTTCCATATACGTCATTTGTAGGAGTACAACGCTGTTTCAATCCAAAAAGGTTTGATGACTTTCCTACTTGGTTGAAGTATAGCATATAAAAAATACTATTTTCTGTCGAAGTTGTTATCTCTTCAAGCTAGAGATTCTAGACCAAGCAGTTAATGACAATTTTACTAGCAAAGGTTTTCAAAATTTGAAGAAAAAATGTTGACTTCGAGTTCATGTTGGAGGCCCTTATAGTGCTCACAACCAAGCTTTACTTCATTGTGAAGCTTTAATGAATCAGAATCAACATAGTCAAACAATTGTCCACAAGTAGTCGGATCAAGCACGTATTGATTATCGCACTCGTTTGAATGCATCACTTGATTGCAATCGCTTTTTATTATGACAAGGTCTTGCTTTTCGTGGTCATGATAAAAGTGAAGATTCAAGCAATAAGGATTTTCTTAAGCTTTTGAAGTTTCTTGCAAATCATAATGTGGGTATTAAAGATGTGGTGTTTAAAAATGCTTCTTAAAATCTCAAGTTAACATCACCTGATATTCAAAAGGATATTGTGTATGTAGCAGCATGTGAAACCACCAATGTTATGATGTTTGATATTGGTGATGATGCTTTCTTTTCTGTTTTGGTTGATGAATTGCGTGATATATCAATCAATAAGCAAATGGTAGTTGTACTTTGCTATGTGAATACCAATGGACAAGTAGTTGAAAGATTTATGAGCATAAAGTTTGTTCCTAATACCACTGCTTTTTCACTTAAAGAGGCAATTGATCAGTTATTCTCTATAAATGAATTAAACATATCTAGATTGCGTGGACAAGGTTATGATGGGGCTAGCAATATGCAAGGTGAGTTTAATGGTCTTAAGACACTTATTTTGAAAGAAATTGAAAGTGCATTTTATATTCATTGCTTTGCATATCAACTTCAACTTGTTCTTGTAGCCATGACAAAAAATCATATTCAAATTGGCTTTTTTTCTACTTGGTTAATAGCGTTGTTACTATTGTCGGAGCATCATGTAAACGTCGAGACATGATTAGAGAAAGACAACAAGCCAAAGTAATGGAAGCTATTCAAAATTATGAGCTTCCAAGTAGGTAAGGCTTGAACCAAGAAACTAGTCTTAAACGTGCAAGTGATACACGTTGGGGTTCACACTATGGTACCTTGGTAAACTTGATTAAAATGTTCTCTTCTGTAATTGAAATGCTTGAGATGATTGTAGATGATGGTGTAAGTCTTGCTCAAAGAGGTGAAGGGGATATTTTGTTGAATCTTTTGCAATCTTTTGATTTTGTCTCTAGTCTATTTCTGATGAAAGAAATATTGGGAATCACAAATGTGTTGTCACATGCATTGCAAAAGAAAGATCTTGATCTAGTAAAAAAAGGGCTATGGCTTTAGTCAAATCATGTAAGCAACAACTACAAGCAATTAGGGATAATGGATGGGATGCTCGGCTTGATAAAGTTTCTTCTTTTTGTGGCAAGCATGATATTGATATTCCTGATATGAATGATATCTTTGTAGCTAGAGGGAGGTCACAGCGTAGAGTTGAAAATTTGACAAACCTTCATCACTACCATGTTGATCCCTTTATTGATGTTATTGATAAGCAACTTCAAGAGTTGAACAATCGTTTTAATGAGGCAAGTACATAGTTGTTTCTTTGTGTTGCATGCTTAAGCCCAGATAACTCATTCTCAACTTTTGACATTGAAAAGTTAGTTCGTCATGCTCAATTTTATCCAAAAGATTTTTTTGATATGGAGCTCACACTTCTTGAAGATGAACTGAAGAATTATATTTTTGATATGCAAATAATGAATTTTTTGCGTTCAAAGGAATTAGTAGCCTTGCACAAAAGTTGGTGGAGACAAAGAGGGATAGACATTATCCCTTGGCGTACTTGCTAGTGAATTAGCATTGATTTTACTTGTTGCGACTGCTTCAGTTGAAAGAGCTTTTTTGGTGATGAAAATTGCGAAGAATCCACATCGTAATAGGATGATTGATCAACGGTTGTATGATAGTTTGGTTGTGTACATTGATAAAGTGGTATTTGATTCTATTGATAATGATGTTGTAATACAACGTTTCTAAAATATGAGAACACGTCGTGGACAATTATAAATGAAAGTATGATCGCTTTTTGAAAGCTATTTTTTGACTCCATTGTCTTAAATTCGTAGCTCCGCCACTAGATGTATAACAACAATGACAATGGACAATTAGGTCATTTCATAGTCTATGTTTAGAGTTGCAGCTTTGTTACAACATTGGATGTTTTGAACTAGTCCAGAAATGTTTCTTCTCTTTTGGTGGTTTAAGTTGTGGAGAATATTTCAAACACTTCTGATCAGCACATTCTCTACTTAGAATCCATCACTATAGCCATGTCTTTGTTGTTGGGAAAGTTTCCAGTGGCTTAGTTGTTGTTACCATTACTGCATGTGGGTTCTTTGAGCTTTTGGGAGGTTTTAAAAGATGGGATTTGTGAGCAATTTATTAGGTTTGATCATTAGTTAAGTTCCCTCCTAAGTTCACTTTAGATACTTGGACTTAGGTTTAAATACTAAAATAAAACGGTATCATTTTAAGTGTAAAGGAATTTGGTTCGACTGATTTTCCTTTTTTCGGTAAGTTTATTTTCGCTTTTCAGTTTTTTGGTTTCGATCCCTTTTTTTTAGGGTATTCGGTTTTTTGAACCCAGCCCTAGCATGGATTACAAATGGAAAATTTTGCACTCAAAATTCTTGATGTCAATGTGCCAAAGTTCGTTTCTTATAATCAAAATTTGTAAATCACATTACAAACATAATTTAAAAGTAAAAGGAATTCTAAAATAATAAAAATTGAAACAACAAAATTTTGTTAGAATTTGTGAATTTCTTTTTTGGTTAACTTAAAAAAATAATATAATTTAAGTACGAAATTTGATGAGTGTCTAGAATCATTAATATATGAAAGATAGTAGTTAGGAAATGTGACAGTAATGTTGGCAGAGATGGTGGAGGAGACGGTGGTGATGATGGTGGGTGGTGGGCAATGGTGGCAATAGTTGTGATGGTCATGATGATGGTGGGTGGTGGTGGCGGTTGTGACATGTCATGTGATGGTCACTAAATGTTGATTTTTTTTATTATATTATTGTTTTTTCCCTCTTACCCATAAAAATTTGGAAATAAAACTATTCACTTGGCAATTGCAGGTTCCAAATTCCAAATTTTTTCCTCGCGAAAATTCTAAATCTTTATGTTTTATGAATCCAAACAAGGGAATTGGTACATGTCAATTTATAAATGACTTTTTTTTTTAATTTCAAGTTCATTTTTCTCATACAAAATACTGCAGTTGATTTACTAAACGAATCGTTGATCTATTTGCTATAGTTGATTCACTAAACGAGTTTAGTTAAAATTTTTCTTTTACAAAATAATATAATATAATTGATTGTGATTATAAGTATGTACCTTTATAAAATCGGCAACAAAGATTGAGTAGTAGTTTCCATAACTAAGTATTATTCGACATGAATTTGACAAGTGAGAATCGTAACACATGTGTCAGTATATATCCGTCCAGTAGATAAAATTTCTAAATTTGACATTCCCACATGAACCTTCTGTCTTTTGACAACATCCACAAGATAGTAATGAATTTTTCTATTGTGATAATGACACACCCCGATCCCGATGTCCGGGGGACAGCGGGATGGCCGCGTGCTAGCCAACACCCGAGGGTGACGCAAGCCATTTTATGAATCCATATGCCGAGAACATGTGAAATATGCATATAAATTGCGCGCTAACTACAAAACGAAATTTTCATATACAAACCTTACCCAAAATAATATAATAATATTCAGCCGTTAATAAAAATGATAGTGATAATGCATGACATATTCAGAGCATACTTCTAATCCAGAAAACAAGCAGACGGTGTAACAGAAAGTGCTATTA